GTCAAGTTCTTCTTTGAGGTGGCCATTTCTGACCACCGCTGCAGCCGCCTTCGGGAAAGGGAGTAATGGCCAGCTGAGGAGGAGAGATGCAGCTCTCCTCAACCCTGCTGGCAGTCTCCCCCCTCTTCACCACCTCTATGGGGTGGCTTAGCCCTGAAACCAGCCAGCTCGGGGCGCTCCAGCAGTCCAATCTCTTCTTGAAAGTCTCAAGTGATGATGCTCCCACAACTTCTGAAGGCAAGGTGTTCCACAGGTTGATCATTCTGTCAGAAAGTTTCTCATTTCCAAGTTAAATCTCTCCTTGTTCAGTTTCCATCCATTATTCCTTGTCTGGCTAACAGGTGCTTTAGAAAATAGCTTGACCCCTTCCCTCCCTGTGGCAGCCCCTCAAATATTGGAAGACTGCTATCATGTCTCCCCTGGTCCTTCTCTTCATTAGACTAGCCAAGCCCAGTTCCTGTAACCGTTCATGTTTTAGTCTCCAGTCCCCTAATCATCCTGGTTGCTCTTCTCTGTACTTTTTTCTAGAATCTCATATATAAATGAATTAAGATAAATTTGGTTCAGATAAATTTGGAATATTGACTTTTACTATGACTTTGTAATTTATTAAAAATAAATATATTTTCATGGGAAACAGATTTATTTTGACTATCCTGGTTATTTTAAGTTATAAGAAAGAGAAGTTTATGATTTTAGAAACTGCATACTAGAGAAGATTTAAGATTACAAGTAAAAAGAAAAAAAGATTACAAGCTTATTACAAGGATGGAGTCATGATCAACACTATCAGTAATAACTGCTTCTAAGGATGGATTATGTCCAAAAAGTGTTATCTGACAAAACAAAGTACTGAAAATGAACCTACAAATGACAGGCCAAGAGGACAATTTGGGAAATAATTCTTTACTGTATATACAAAATATATCTGAAGTTTTAAAAATTAAAAGGGAAGTGATAAGCTAAGATAATGACCTGTAAAATATTTTATTAGATTTAGGAAAGAGGCTTGTTAAAGCCTTGAAGGAATACGTGAAATGGGATAAGGAAGAATTTAAGAGAAATAAAATCCTACAATGTTTGATTGAATTTAAGATTAAGACTGCTAGAAGTAAAAGATAGGAATATAAAGTTGGTTTATTTGATCAAGGTTAATGTAAAACTTTATTTTGTTTTGCAAAATTCTTTAGGGACTTTCTGCTGACACCAGGACTGAAAAGTTGATGTTTTATCAATTTGCTTATAGACAAAGGAAGAGCCAGAAACAAGATATGTTTGTAACTTTAAAGGGGATTTAGAATTATTAAATTTGTTTATCCTTGTTGTGAGGAAGGTTGGAAGTCATTCTTTATATATTTTTCTTTATTCTATCTTTCTTTCCTGCACTTATTTTTTTTCCTTTTGATTTTCTTCTTCTCTAACTGTAGTTTTTATTACTGTTGTAATCAAAATTTGTAAAAAGATCTGTTTTTTTAAAAGAAAAAGAAAAAAAGAACATGCAGAAACAAAAAATGGTCTTATAGCGTCATGCAAACAGTACAAACAGCTTATCTGGCCAAAAGGTGTTTTCTTTTCCAGAAACTGAATAAACATGTGCAATCAGTCTTTCAGGTTTGTTGATGTAACCATGAGAGACAAAGGCTAGAGATCTTAAATCAAATTCTATTCATGCCCCAATCCTTGGGGATTCTGGACAGCAACTGCTTTCCTGCAGCTGCATATTAAAAATATTATCTATGTTCTTCCCATACAGCAGTTAGGATGCAGATTGGAGAGACAAAGCTTCAAATTCCCAGCTTATTTAGGGGATAGTTAATATTATCCCAACTTCACAGGAATGTTGTGAAGACAGATTGAGAGAATCAAGAGTAATGCTGAAATAAATTTGGGGAGAGGAAGTAGATTATTCTCATAAAAAACAATTCCTATAACCAATCTTTTTATGTTAATTATTTAACATTTTAATATATTTAAATATAAATATATTTAATAAAATTCAGATTCAGCAGAAATACTTTTTCCAGTTAGGAAATTCACTTAAAGGAGCCTTCTCCAACCTGTCCCACTCCAGATGTGACATAACAGTTAATAGGATCCCAGCACGCAGGAATGCTGGTTAAATCTTCCAAGCACTTCAGTCCCAAGACATGTGAAGGATACTTGACTGGGGAAGTTCATTTCAGTGTTTAGCTCACACAAAGTAATGACATCTTCCAGGGCTCTCAAACTCCAATGAACTGTTAGGTACATTATGCTTTAAAATGACTCTAAACACACTGTTCTAAGCTGGAATGCCTTACCCATTTGGCTTCTGTCAGTTTTCTCCCAGCCTTCCAAATTTATCTGAGCTGAAGAAACCAGTTGCAACCAGAATTGCAGTTTTAAAAAAAGCTAATTACAAAGAATCTGAAACTGATTTCAATGCAAACTTCACTGAATCTATTAAAACTAATTTCTAAGTGAACATTCATACTTAGGATAAACATTTATTTAAAAGATTTACATGGCCACCCATCTTAACCAATATCTAGCTTCCAGTACGGCAGAGAGAATTGTTGTAAGTTTCCTTGAGATTCTGGTTGCTAAAGTGACATCCAAATCGCATTACAGTAAAAGACAGAAATGACTTCATTCCCAATCCAAATTTTATTGTATTTAACTGAGCTCTATTGGACCTTTAAAAACAATCAAGAATATTTTGAGTATTTTCTTTGGGGTTTTTTTTTTGTTATTATTATTGAATGGTATTTCCTCAAAGACTAGTTGGCCAGTTTATGTGAACACTCTAAATGCATATTACATAGTCTCTGCTTTTCAGTCTGTCCCGACCTCTACAAGCGAACCCGAACGGGGAAAAAAACCTCTTTTGCTGCTGTAGAAAGTAGAAATACTGTAATTATGCATTTCTGGAGCAACCTCGCTTTGCGGTATCCTTTAAAATTTACCATTCAAGTGAATTTTAGGTTGTATGCAGGAACTTCACACAGGTGGGTCAGTGAAGTAACTCACAGCAGCCATCAGTGACACTAGCGTTAACAAACAGTTGTAATAACTCAGCAAAAATCATCTTCGGGAGCCGTTAAAGAGACCTCATAGCACTGGGGGGACGGACGGGGGGGACATTCTCCTCTTCTAGACCAAAAGGGGAAAAACAGAAGAAACCCAAGCTTAGGTTAAAGACTGCAAACTGCCAACTCGGAGAGGGGAGACGGCTGCGGCGGCGACTTCGATTTCTGCAAAAGGATACTGCTCGCTCGCATGCACCGCCAGTCTACCGAGTACCATCCGTTGCAACTAGGGCAGCTCGGCTTTCGGGAGATTAGGAGTCTCTAATGAACGTATACAACAGCAGCCAGATACACACACACCCAAACTGGCAGAAACCTGTTCTGCCCGGATCGGCTCTAGCGGTAGCGGCGGCAGCACAAGCTGGGAAAAGCAGCTCGCGCCGCCGCGAAAGCAAGAGCGCGCTGAGGCTCGCGGCCGGGAACCCTTCTGCCAAGGCAGGCCGACCGCTAGGGGGCGCTACCCGAGTCCCCCCCCTCCTCTTTTGGGAACCTTGCCTCAGCAATTAAGACGGCGCTTCTTTAAAAGCTGTGGGGGAAATGCAAACTCTGAAGTACAGGGATCCTAAGGAAAGCCATCAACTCTCCAGCCGGTCAGCGTGACTTCAGTGTGGCAATTCCCCCCCCCCCCCCCCCGCTAAGTTTCGTTCGCCGCGCGCGCGACTGCTACACACGAGGGTTTTTTTTTTTTGCCGTGGAAATATAGTGATCACACCAAGAATTTCCAACTGCGAAGCCGCAAAGAACTACTTGGGTACCATTTAGGGAGCCGGACTTCGGTCTGAGCACCAGACGGGTCCATTCGGACGGCTGTTGCTTTTTCAGTTTCCTGGTCTGAGTCCTGTTTGCCGCCAGGGCCTCGAGCGGCAAATTGATTGGGACTCGATTAAGTCCATGCCTCTTGGGGGGGGGGGGAATTATTTAGTAAACCCTGCCATTTCTCCTTCGTTGAAACGATGCCGATGCTGCCGAAGAAGCCTTCTGCAAGACGAAACTCGGCGCTCCCTGCTGCAGTTTACCTTAAGTGACCTTCCTGCGAATGGGGCGCTGAGGTAGACTTTTAAGCGAGAGGCTCCTCCGCCGTCGCCCGCGCTTACAATCCCGAAGGGAATTTCGCGAAGGGAATTTCCCCCTTGTTGCTCTCACCCATCCGCCACAGGCGACCACCGCAAACCGCCGTAACGAAAACCATGCAAAAGTGGGGGAGCGGGGGAAGGAAGGCGGGAGATGGTGCCTTTAACAGTACAGAGAACTGTTGAGAAAGAGCAGGTCGAACTTGGGCAGGAGTCTCACGCGAGGGACTTCCTCTAACCGAGATGAGTTTTCGGGGACATGAAAACTGAACTATGGATTCCAAGCGGCGCAGCGAAGCTTCCTTTTGCATGAAGATGTTCAGCCTCGATGAATTTGGGGTGAGGAGTTCACATAGTGTCTTTTTTAGAATATACATTACTAGCCGGGGAAATGGTTTGTTTTTCTTTCCGAGCTCTACCTCGAGGCTGCTTCTTGAAGAGAAACCTAATGGGGTGGTGGGGGTGCTCATAACGCCATAAAACTGATGTAATTCGCCTAAGCCGCAAAGTCATCTCTTTGCGGCTTAGGCGAATTACATCAGTTTTATGGCGTTATGAGGAAAAGGGTGGGGGGAAGGTGTCACGAATGGAAGCAAACGTGGCAGAGCCCGTCCACTCTCCAAATGAAGCTCAACCACTCCGCCCTTCCCTTGCCGCCTCGTCTCTCACTTTATACTCGGTTCAGGTCGCGGCTCCTGCGGCTGCCCGGCGCGCGCTTCCCTTCAGAGCGCGCGGAAGCCGGCCCGCCCGCCCGCTCACTCTTCAGCTGCTGCAATTGCAAAACCGGGTTCCGGCGCGCACATGGCGCTGCCGAGTTACAGCGCGCGCCAGATCCGCCGGTAAAGACCGGCTCGAGCCGGTATATATATAGAGATTTCCTAAACTCCAGGAGCGAAGGAGGAGCCGGCTGGCCATGGGGCAGCCTTGGCAAAACCAGCAGCGGGAGCCTAGCATCGGATAACGAGCCAGACTCCCGGCCGCTCTTTCCGGACGAAGGGAATCTATTTTAGGTGCAGGGCAGGCTCCACCTTTTCCAACGGGGGGTCAGGAGTATAAGTCTGAAGCGACTGGAGCCCCCTTCCCGCGCCTTCTGGAGCCGGGTCTTTTTGGTTCGTGCTACTGAGGGCGAAGGGTCGGGTGTTCCAGCCGCCGTCTCAGCATGTTGCTGACCAGGTCATAGGCCAAAGGTGCTTTTCTCTGCAGCTTGGGGGGGAATCCTTTTTCTTCCACACCTTTCTCTCCCCAAGTTGCAGCAGCAACATCATCTACTGACCTGGTAAGTGACTTTTCTTCTGGGCACAAGTTTGGTTGTCTTGCTGTCGCTTTTTTTTTTTTAAACACGTTACTTATTGTTTTAATCGAAAAGAGCATCCGCCTCTCTGAAAGAGAGAGCAGAGGATCCGATTGGGGAAAAAAAAAGTGGTGGAACTGTGCCTTGAAGGTTGCACGAGAGATGAAGATGCAGTCCTGGGCCTTCGTGCGGAGAGTGGTCACTTCCCACGCTCTACATACATCGCGTGGACTGGGGAGCCGGCAACGAGAGGTTATTCTTCCATTCGGAAGAAAACATTTAAAAAGAAAAACCTTGCTTATAAAATAGGTCTCTTCTCCCCCCCCTCCCGGTCTTTAAAGGAAAAAAAAGAGCTTTGTATGGTGGTATTTATGCAAGGCAAAAGAACAGCGCAGATTTGCATTCTATCAAATGCGCTTTAAACCGGATTGAGGATAACCACATGGCGCAACGTGGCCGCTAAAAATTCTGTTCCGCTCTATTGAATTCTGCAAGCGTCGCATCTCCGCTAAACAAAGCCCTTGGATCTCACACCTCTTTTAAGCTGCGCTTTTCTGAGCAGCGACCGGGAAGGCTTAAACGAAGTACAATGTTTAAGTAGAAATAGCATAGACAGGACCGAACAATACATATTCTCCAGAAACAAATGAAACTAATATTGGAACCTGTCCTGTGCCGGGCTTAGACAGGATTTGATCAAGATCTCACATACGCAATGCTTTGTATGGATTATTGTATTACGACTCAAATTACAGAAAGACTTAACTCTTTTCTTTCTGCCCCAAATTTGGAAAAAAAAATTCAATACTTTTAACATTTGATTTTGCTGTAGGATTTGTTACATACACCCCTTAACATACCACCACATACATGTAATCTAATGCAAACCAGGTAGGACTATTAATACAACAATTCTGCCTGGTCTGCATTAAGTGTTACAGTAACAAAAGTTACTTTGCTGTCTTTACACAGATTCCTGACATATTAGATATCTTCTCTGTCCTTTTATTCTTCCAAATCTGAAGTCATCAGGTACAAATAGTCCAGTCTTATGGTTTCAAAAGCACCTTCGTATGGCAAGTTGACAAAAATAATTACTGACTGCCCTTTCTGCTTTCTGTATAATTTTTACCTATTTTAATTAACATGTTAAAACCCTGTATAACTAATTAGCTTTAAAATGGCATAGCAGTGCCTTTGGACTAAAGCATAAGTGATTTGATGAATGTTTAAAAATGGTTTTTTAAATTTGCCTCTCCCAAACCAAATTTTAAAAATCCTTCCTCTGTTATACAACATATATTCCAGGAATTATTTGACAAAAGAAATTAATTTCAAAAAGCATTTGACATAAAAACTCCTGATAAAGAAATGCTTTCCTGCAAACATTTAAAACTCTTATTACATACTTTAAATTACTTTTTTTAATTGCTAACTTTCTCCTAAACATATCTCACATGCAATTTAGCACACTTAAGCAGTTAGATATATTTCACTATATATAATTAAGCTGTCTGTGACATCAGGGAATTTGTTCTGTACAATAGAGTACAGTATATACTAGCACATAATATTACAGTAATAGTATGTACACAAAAATCTTGTGTATCGAGGATACAGAATTGCCTATTTAGATTTCCTCAAGCCTGAAACTCTTAACTGGGACTAAAGCAGAACTTTGTATGTATAAATGTTTCCAAGTGACTCAACAGCTAAAGAATGATTGGCAATTACAGCAGCTTAAGATACCTGCCCATAGCTTTTTGCAAATACTTACAACACTGCAAGAATCCTGGAATAAAGATAGATGGTCCAAGAAGTCAGTGACTTTATTACTTTTGCTATGAAGTTTGGCAAAACTCTATTTTGATTCTCCTCTCCCCCCCCCCCCCCCCCACCCAAAGTTGCTCTGCACTCCATTGAGAAAATATACTTTAGTGAAAGAAATTCTGACTTCATCATATTGAGATATTGAATTAGAACATTTTAATTGTTTCAGAAAGCACTGCTGTTAGAACTACTCAGAGGTTATGTGGCGTGGCATTAACCTGGGAGTACACAAAAGTATCAGCACAAAGAACTTTTTCAGGCATGCTTGACTGTTTTAGAGTGCGCAAGATAAGGAGCTTTTATTGAGTTATCAAGCACCTTGAGCATCAGCAATCGCTGCCTGCATATAGGTAGTCCCGTACACAGTATCCAACAGTCATCTGTACTGTGTAGAGCTTGATTTATGATCAAAGTTCTGACGGGACCCACCCTCCTCCCAAAAAATCGTGCGAATCCAGTTCCAACACCCATCCGAATCTCCCCAGGTCATGTGACTGCATTTTAAGCACCAGCAGTCTGCCCATATTTGCAGCTGTTTGCAGCGCTCCACAATCATGTAACTGATTTATGTCATTTTTGCCCGAAACCAAAGTTTACTGCCAATTTCCAGCAAAAAGCACTCCACAGTAAACAGTGGCTTCCCTTAATGACAGGCATATTCGCTTAATGACCACCATTTAAAAAAAGGTAAAATTGGCTCCAGTCATATGATGATTTGCTTTATAACCCTAACTGGACCTAAATTATAGTTGTAACTTAAGAATTACCTGTATAGGCTGTTCTAGTGCTTAAAAAGGACCTGTTTGATGTAGTGGTTAAGGCTAAAAACCGGGAGACCATGAAATTCTAGTTCTGCCTTAAGCACAAAAGCAGTTGGGGTTTTCTTGGGTGAGTCTCTCAGTCTGAGGAAGAAGAAACAAGAACCACTTTGGACACCTTGCCAAGAGAACTGCAGGGACTTGTCCGGGGAAATCACCAAGAATCAAAACTGACTTGAAAAAGCAGAACCAGGAGCATTTAAAATCATCATACGGATGGTTCAGCATTTTCAGCTATGAAGACAACACCTCTTAACAGCAAGATGGGCTTGGATTTAATCAGAATCAGCCTCAAGAGCAGATTGCAAATACAGTACAAGATTCTTCTCACTCTCACTACAGCTTTGGAGTCATCACGGATTCTTTTTTTAACCTCCAGAAGTGCCCTCTATTATATTTTCATCTGCTCCTTAATTGCTTTTTCTAGAACGGTTCTTATGATGAAATACGTTTTGGGTTTAGAGATTAAACTAGCCCTACAACATCATATCATAATTTATGATAATGAGATTTACTTCAACTCTTTATAGTTTAGGGGGAACTACATTTTTAATATTTATTTCACACTTAATTCCTTATGTTTTAACAAGTGAATTTCATGTGTCTTGTGTTTTTAGAAGATATCTCAATTTTATCATCTTTTCTATTCCAGATCAAAATGTCTGTAAAAAAAACCATAATGTCATGCTTTACCCCAAATGTTTATACTAAAGTGCCTGATGGAGGATGGGGATGGATTGTGGCTTTCGCTTTCTTCTTTGTGGAAGCCTTGACGTACGGCATTATCAAGTCCTTTGGGGTCTTCTTTACTGACTTAGTGGAATGTTTCAATGAAAGCAACAGCAGGATATCATGGATAATCTCAATATGTGTATTTGTACTTACGTTTACAGGTAAGCGCATACTTAGATAAGGGTTATATGAAGTCTTACAATCCTGGTCTTATACATGACTTAAGACCTGTGTTTTCAGTGGGCTTAATAAAGGGGCCCTACCCAGCATAAGGCTTAGTTATACTATCGGTGGTCATTTAATGACCACTTGTTTAGTAATCATTCAAACTTAAAACAATCTTGAACAACAGCGATAATTACAGTCGGTCCTTGAACTTGCAGCCCTTGCACCATTCCCTGCAGCAAAGTGGTCACGATTTGGGCATGTAGCAACCAGCATGCATTTATTATAAGCATCAGAACATCCTGTGGTCACTACAATCTTCACAGCTGGCTTCCACCAGGCAAAGTCAGTGAGAAAGCCAACAGTAAGTCGTAATCAGGCGATGTTTGTGCTTCACAATCCATAGTGATTCACTTAACAACCACTGTGGGACTGCTGTAAATCTGGGGTGGTTATGATGTTTCAGGTTAACAACCATGTCACTTAATGACAGATTTGCCAATTCCGATTGCAGCCAGTAAGTAACGATGGCATTTATTTATCCCAAGTGAGATTACTCAGTCAAACCAGCTCTTGTCTTTCAATAAGAGGATTCTAAAAGGAATACTAGAACAATTAAGGATTGCATTCTGTATACATTGATTTACAATTATGTTTAATAACTCTTCTAGATGATGGCTTAATTCAAGTTTACAAACATATTTGAGAGACCATCCTGCATAGTATCTGCCTACCCTGTTTGATCCTGCAGAGTTGGCATATTTTGGTTACCTATTAATCAAACCATGCATGTCACCTGATGGGATCTGAGAAATAGGGTTCCTCTGTTGAAACTTGGAATGCCTGCCGATTTGCCACTATGGACTTATTAACAAAATATATATAGTGAGGGGGATGATTTATATTAGTGTCTTTGAGTCACTGGCAACTGTCTGGACTTGTTCCTGCATTTTTCTTGGCAAGGTTTTTCAAAAATGGTTTCCCTCCTTCCTAGGGCTGAGAGAAAGTGGCTGGCCCAAGATCACCAATTGGCTTTGTGACTAAGACAGGACTAAAACTCCCAATATCCCAGTTTTTAGCGTGGTGCTGTAACTCTTACTACTAGACTGGTTATCATACGTTATGTAAACATGTATAAGTACGACATACCACTTGGGACCGCTCTAATATAGTAAAATTAAAGTAATCAGAAGTAAATTACTGGTGCCTGGAAGTTTGACTCACTGAACCAGTGACTTATATGTTGCCATGTTCCTGGCTGTTGGATACAAGGTGTTATAAGGGGAAGAGAGATTTAGAGGACCCTGCAAACCAAAGTACATAGGTTGGGTTCCAGTATTCTGGTCTGCAAAGAGATATAAACAATTAAATCTTCGTTCTTTTTGCAGCTCCTCTTTCTACAGTTGTAGCTAATCGTTTTGGTCATCGTCTGGTGGTGGCGTTCGGAGGGCTACTGGTCTGTAGTGGAATGGTTGCCGCTTCCTTTGCACGTACTCTGGTTGAAATGTACATCTCAATTGGCATAGTTTCAGGTAAGTTTCTTTTAAAGAAATTTTGAGCTATCATAATTCTCCAAGAATGTTTACATTCAAGCAGTAGAAATAGCTCTTGTATGAAGAGGTCGAGATAGCTTGGAAACAGGAAAATCTGCCTAGTTCTCAGTTCTGCTGAGTGACCCTGGTTGTTAACGCCATCACAGGCAGGCCTGGATTTTCAGCCTCCTTGCCCAGTGACAGAGCAAGGGTACCTTTTGAGAGTTTATTTTGGGAAATGTATCACGATGCATTCTAATTATTTGAAAAACTACACCTGTTAATAAGAATTAGCAAAACATGTCAGAATTTCAAGAGAAATTATCGGTGGCAAACAGTATGTCCTGAGTGAATAATTAAAAAAAGAAAGAGTTGGGAAAAATAAATATTTCCGATCCTGCAGGAGCATAACAGCTTTATATTAACATTTGGCATTTATTCACAGGTTTAGGATACTGTTTTGCCTTTCTTCCAACTGTTACCATTCTGTCTCAGTATTTTGACAAAAAGCGCTCATTGGTCACTGCCGTGGCTTCTACAGGAGAATGTTTTGCCGTTTTTTCTTTTGCACCAGGTAAAAAACACATTTCTTGCTTTTTCTAACATAGAGGTATCTTATACTTCTTTCTGCCTTTGATATGAATATATCAAAACATAGTCCTGCCGAAACCTAGCTTCCCTTGGGGACGGGAACATGTTACACCAGGGATGTCAAACTTGATTTCATTGAGAGCCACATTAGAGTTGTGTTTGACTTGGGGGGAGGGCATGTGTGTGTGTGGCCAGATCAATGCTACTTGTGTTTGACACCCCTGTGTTACACTTTTAGTTTCAATTTACAAATACATTAATTGTAGAGTAGCAGTCCCCAACCTTTCTGGCTCCAAGAACCAGTTTCTAAAGAAAAATTGTCTTCCACAGACGGGACGCTGAGGGGAGGGGGGATGGTTTCATGTGTGCAATTTGAATCTCATGCATATGCAGATTAGGCTTAGTCTGTTAGTCTGCTTGCACGGCCTAGTTTCCAACAGACCATAGACCAGTACTGGTCCATTGCCAGAGGTAGAGGATCCCTGTTGTAGAGAATGTACAACTCAAAATTAATGTTCCTCTTTGGGTTACTTTGTAATATAGCAGAAAAAGAGATCAATGATGGAGAAAGTATTACGATCTTAATCGTTTTCCAAATGCAACATTTCTAGCTAAGTTCTTAAAGATCGTATAGTTCTGCCAGACATAATAAAAGCCATGGATTTTTCATTTGAGCAAAACTCGGCTTATTCCATTAAATCATACTGCAAAAACATCGACACTATGTTGTCAAGAAGCAAATAGACAATTGAGGGCCATCTTGATTTAGTGGGTAAAAGCATTAGAATAGGACCTAGGAAACCAAGAGTTCTTGTTGGGCCTTAGGCATGAAGCCAGCTGGATGACTTGAGGCTAGTCAGTTTCTCTCAGCTCTAGGAAGAAGTCATTGGCAAACTACTTCTGAAAATATTGCTAAGAAAGTTGTATGAGGTTGTCCATGAAGTCACCAGCAATCAGGACTGATCTGAAGGCACTAAAAACAAAACAAACAGCTATGTAATAGTGCAAGTTATTATAGATGCAAAATTTAGGCTACTGTCAGCAGTAGAAGCCTACTTGGTGGGCCAGTCACTCATTTTCAGCCCAACATACATCATAGAATTGTTGTGGGGTGAATTAGGAGGGAAGAGTGCTATATATACTCTTATTGGAGATCCTGCAAAGAGACAGGATATAAATTTAATCGTATTCTCAACTTCAAACACATTTTCTAGAAAAGCATAGCAAGTTCTCGGAATGCATGCTGTTTTCATTAAGAGTCAGAGATCAGTCCATTCATTATATTCCAAGTAATTAGAACTTCTTTCCAGTCTTTAGAAGATTCACACCACCTGCTAAGTAAGAAGTGTGGGGAGGGAGACTCAGAAAAACAGGGCGGGATGAGAGAAGGGATATCCAGATCTTTACACTGGGAATATTTTTTTAAAAAGATACTGTTAAGAGGAGGTTTGTGCTTCAATTTGTAATTAGGGACATGATTTGAACCCTTCGTTATTCTAGACATGAGCTCGGACTTCTATAGAGCATGTTCTCACCTTGCTACTATTTTTTCAGTAAGCAGAGTAAAATGACATAAAACTCTGCAAAATGTCCAAGCTAAAAATAAAGCTGAGTTGCAATTCCAACCGCAGGTATTAATAGTAAAAAGGGCTGGCGACGTGGTTATCTGGAAGATTAACCCAACGTATCTGAAATTCAAACCCTGGGATCTTAGCATGTCTAAATGACTTGATGCAATTCTAGTAGGCTACTAGAATTCATCAGGCCTACTATACGTGCTAAAATGAAATGTGCGTTCAGCCCTCCTCCATGCCAGAACCTTCATTTTGCCCATACTTCAGTGTCTCCCTCTTCTGTCTTAGCTCCCGTATCTATTGCGGATAACTCATCCCATCATGGTGGAGGAAGACACTGTTTTTAGTTTCACAGAGTATAGATTTGGAAAAGTAAGAGAACTACATTTGATCCCATTTTCCCTAAGGTGACAGAAGCATATATCTTCCTGTCTAATATGTGCTAAAGTTCAGCGGCACCAAAGCTTACCTGGGCAAAGAAACACTTGGTATAAAAATCCATTTTGTAGTTTGCTTTTCCGTTTCTCATGCTTAAGCGATCCATGTCCCCCCAAAAAGTTAGCCAAGAATTCTATGCCTGCCCCTAAAGTCCATGAGTGCAACTATGACAAAATTTGAACTTACTATTATAAACACGAGTGTTTTCCAAGTTCATACCTATATTTTACTTTTTCCTATGCTATAGCTATCACTGCTTCAAAGGAATACTTTGGTTGGAGAGCCAGCCTCTTGTTTGTTGGTCTACTGCAGCTTGGAATCACTGCCTGTGGATTGCTGCTGCGGCCCATCACAATCATAGCACAAGAAACAGTGAAAGTATCATCAGTGGAACAGCAAAGAGAGACAAAGTACATGCTTGAAAATGAACAGACGCACACCTCAATAGACTCCATTGACTCGGGAGTAGAAATAACTACACCTCAAAACATACCTAGAGATGCCAACTTGGAACCTAAAAGTGAAGAACCAAAGGAAAACACGGAGAGGTTCATAGCCAGTAGTAGCATTCCTACCAAGGAACCCAAGCCCAAACTCCTAGACTTCTCTGTGTTGAAAGACTGCAGTTTTATTTGTTATGCGCTTTTCGGTCTGTTTGCTACTTTGGGATTCTTTGTTCCCTCGCTATACATAATTCCTCTCAGCATGAGCCTTGGCATCAGCAAGGACTGCTCTGCTTACATTCTCTCAGCCATGGCAATTGCTGAGGTCTTTGGTAGAATCGGCGCAGGTTGGCTCCTCAACAAAAAGCCCATCAGAAAAATTTACATTGAGCTCATTTGTGTCATACTTCTGGACGTTGCCCTTTTTGCCTTCCCTCTTGCCTACGAATTTTGGGGGCTAATGATGTGTAGCATTTTCTTTGGATTCATGCTCGGGACAGTAGCGGGCACACACATTCCAATGCTGGCTGAAGACGATGTCGTTGGCATTGAGAGGATGGCATCTGCTGCAGGGGTCTATGTATTTATTCAAAGCTTATCAGGGTTGGCTGGACCACCCCTTGCAGGTAATGTTAAGCCGTCCAATTTCAGAGATCTTACTTCTCTCTGTACTTACTACCCATGCTGGGGGTCCATAACAATTGCACCTGTTTCCCAGGGTTCAATGGGTCATTATCAGGTAGGGCTGAAGAAAGCCCTCCCTGAAAATATGAAGAAATACTGCCAGCCAGTATTGACAAGATTCTACCTTATGTGGACCTATTACCTGACTCAATATTAGGCAGCTTTCTACTGTGATGGTAATACATACTAAACCAGGGGTCTCCAAACTTGGCAACTTTAAGACTTGTGGACTTCAACTCCCAGAATTCTGGGAGTTGAAGTCCACAAGTCTTTAAAGTTGCCAAGGTTGGAGACCCCTGTACTAAACCACAATTGAAGAACAAGTAAAAAATGGAAACGGTGCTCTTGTGTGAGCAAGGAACATTTAATTCAGCTTATATAGGATGTGCGTGTGTGTGTGATAAGGACTCTAGGTCAGTGTAGAGAGACTTGGCGTAATGGTTGGAATGCAAGTGTTAGTTAATAAACAATCTTGCTTCTTGTTCCCCCCTCTAACCAATATTTTAACATAGTAAGTTGAATGGCTGCACTTCAAGGAGCATCTCCAATGCCTTTTCTAGAATAGTTTACAATTTTGAGCTATTTAGGATGGGCCCAAACCCCAAACATGCATCATGGGAACACAGTTGTTTAAGTGATTCACTTATTAAGTCCTCCTATGGTTCTTAAATTAGATATAGTCATACTCAGGAAAGAAAATCTGAAGAAAATGTTTCAAAAGATTGTGGTAAACTGGTATGTATAACGTTTTTCATAACATGCTCTTTTCTTCCTCCTTTACAGGTTTACTAGTGGATACCACAAAAAATTACAGGTCTGCATTCTATTCCAGTGCTATTGGAATGCTGCTGGCTGCTGTATTCCTTTCTTTGCTGAGGCCTTGCAAGAATTTAACATGTCAGAGAAAGAAACAATCACTACAAGAGAATGTCTCAGAGCCTCAGGACGATTTTATAGAAACTGATTTTGGGAAAACAGAGGATTCTGTAAAGGGCTGTGATAGCATAGCTTGAATTTTAAAACATATTATTTAGAGATTGGGGAAAAACAAGTCGGCTCAAGCCCACCTTTTAAAACTTCATTAAAGGGAATGCAACACAACAAAGGTGAACATGTTAGCAATTCTTTCATAAAGACTGGTTAAATTCCATGCACACACTCCTACTGAGCATGAAGTTGTGATTCAAATTTTTTTATTAATGGGAAGCAAGCAACACATAATAACTCAATTCCAAATCATAATGAACCAGCAAGATGTTAGGCGAAAGAAAAATCAGATATGGCTTATCCAACTAAGTTAAAGTTTGCTGTGTTTTTTGTTGCCTATGAGAAGAATCTCACCAGAAATAATGTTCTCTTAATTAACAACACAGGAGTAATGCCACAAAATAACTAATCTGATGAAACAGTCTTGAAATGTTTATTTTCATCAAATAAGCATAGCTGTTCTGCGTTTTAGTTTTGGAGAACAGATACTGAATTTATACTTGGAACAAGTAGCCAATTCTCCTTGTCCTGCGACTTGAATTGGAATCCAGCAACATATGGGGAAAAGTTAACTTTTGTCACTCACTAGCGAATTAATGAATAGCTTTTGTGTGCTTTAAAAGTTGGTTAAACTTCACAAAAGTTTGGAGGTTACCAGTTCTATTTTAGGGCCAGTTACTCTTTTCATAACAGTATTACCTTAAAATGCAGATAAAAATTATTGCCTAATCTTAAGTATGATTATTTATATGTTGTAATGTTTTTTCAAGATTCACTACTGAATGTGCATAAATTCGCAGCCTTGATGAGACTTGCTTTTTGAGTAGATATATTCAAAATCACAGTATCAAGCATAGAAGGACTAATTCTGATTGTGCATGAATAGGATTGTACTTTTAAAGACTTACTTGCCTTTTGATGTTCAGGCAAATCACTGATTCTAGCAGTTTTAATTTTTAAAAAAGTTATTTATTTTTATTTTGTGATTGTTATTTAAAACAAACCATTTGCCCCGAATTCTTTCCAAGTCTTGATGCATTTCTAGTGTGTAGATTTTTAGGCAATAGATAATAGTGCACCTACTTATTTTTATGGTTATAGAAGTTTTGCAACAGGTGCCTTTAAAGAAATGAAACAGATACTGTGTGCTGTTTTGGAGTTCAGAGATTGAAACGACCAGATTATAGGTTTAGTTAAGACTTCGAGAGTCTGCTCTGATCTAATGGAGGCTGTGATTTATTAAATTGAGTAAAACATTTCAAGCATGTATGGAATTGTGTTATTTCAGTATGGATAGTCCTCAACTTATGACCACAAAATTTCTGTTGCTAGGAGAGACATTTGTTAGGTGAGTTTTGCCTCAGATAATGACCTTACTTGCCACAGTTAAGTGAATTACTGCAGTTGTTAGGTTAATACGTTTGTTAAGTGAATCTGCCTTCCCCATTGACTTTGCTTGTCAGAAGTTTGCAAAAGGTGATAATCTGACCCTGGGACACTGCAACCATCATAAATATGAGGCAGTTGCCAATAGTCTGAATTTTGAACATGTGACTATGGAGCTGCTACAACAGTCATAAGTGTGAAAAAGTTATAACCCACTTTTTTCAGTTATGTTGTAACTTTGGTCACTAAATGAACTGTTGTTTAAGTCGAGGACTACCTGTGAAAGTTTGCTGAATCAGGAGAAAACCATTTTTATTCTGAAAACATTCCACTGTCTTGGTTATACTATGAATCACCTTTCAGTTAGGTCTATGTCTGAAGGCTTAAGTCCTTTATGGACAAGCTTGAGAAGGTGCATGCTGTATGTTTGGGACTTGTTCTTATCTTTGTTAACTTCCACATTCATTCATGTGTAGGTCTTTTATGATTTAAAAAGAAGCTCTGATTGTTCCATCAGTGCCTTCATATGAAGGTTGTACATTTTGTCATCCCATTTGTATGACCAGTTGTGCTAACAGTAGTGCACTGAAAGGTGAAACTATATAATCTAATGCCTCAGTCATCTACTACCTTGCAATTCCCACTGGGCAGTGTGCCTCAAGCCATATTTGGGGTCTTAAAGGGGCCAGCTGCATAAACTAAGCCTTGGAGAAATATGAGGGTTATCTGATCTAACCACAGGAGGGCAGCAGAGAGATACTTAAATCTAACTATTGGCTGTCATCTAGTGGTCATCCAGATTTTTTACAGCTATATCTGGTAACCCTGCAGAGAGAAAAATGCAACAAAGTTAATATTTTTAAAATGCAATTTGTGCATCTCCCATTTTCAGTAAGTTTTGTACAAAGGAAATTCACAGAGGTGGCAGCACCATGTTGACTATTGTTCACTGACTTTTAATAAATAGCCACATCAAAGGTGACACGAGCTTTCTTACCCCACTTTTATACGTCTTTTTCTCACTAGGCAACTCAGGGGGGAAACGAGAAAATAAGATTTGGTTCTGAATACACACAAGTACAGATTCAAAATGTCTCTTGATAATCCATTGTTAATGGCACTGTATGGTCAATTATTCTGGTAAGACTATACAAATTAAGGTCATTGTGATTCCTGATAGGGTTTTCCAGAATCCTCTACCAAAAAACAAACGCAACCTAAAAAGAAAAAAAAAGTTCAAAATCTATACTGTCACAATGTAAAGACATAAATTTGTGAATGCTGGTGAATTTTCAATGCAACATATTTAAAGCATTCTGATTTTAGATATTCTTTAATAATATAAGAAAACATGATCTTAAAAGCTATTTACTTGCACCGTGTTCTAGTAAAATGCTTTACTTTTGTCATCAAGATACCCTTAGGCATAGGACATGGTGTCCCTGTATCTTAAGCAATTCATTTTGTGTCTCTGCTGGAAAATTCTGAAAACCATGTTGCAATTTGGGATTGTTTGTTTACTTTCAGCACTTTATCATGTACAGTAGAAACTCAATAAACTGCAGAGAAGACTGGGAGGAGGGAATGACTAGATTTTCTGGATATTTTTGGTGGGAAATAAAGGAATAAAATATGAGGCATGTGCTAATAAAAGTGGCCATTTATTTAGCAAGCATACCATATACTTATTATATTCCTAGTAAAGCAGAAAATATAAGGTAGACTTACTAATGTAAATCTTAAAACCATGTTTGGAATACTCATTTTTCTGGTCCAAGCTATCTAAATTACTGTAGTTTGAATTCTAATGTAAAACTACCATAATACAGGTAGTCTTTATTTAGCGACAAAGAGTGACTGTTTGCAAATAAAACAGTAATTTAAAAAAAGTCATTTCCCAATCAATGCAAACATTTACCACAATAAAAACCCTTCAGTGTGAAACTGATTTCGATCTGGTCAGTTTCAGGCAACAGGTACCAGGAGGGTTATAATCAATTAACACTTTTATGGGAGGTCATGGGGCAGAGAAAAAGCATATTGTGTACTTGACATGTAGATGGAAAAAATAGTTGTCTCTGCAAGTTAACGAAGTTCTACTGTAATGTTAGTCCAAATATTTCCAATACTAAATAATGCAATGTATGTAACTGACATCTAAAATTATGTATGTATGTACATACCATATTAGTGTGATCAGAATGCATGCATCTGAACAAGATATTCAAAATCAGGATTAAACATGGTTGAAGCAGGATGCGGATTTATTCTGTACTGTAAATTAGTGGATTCTGGAAGTGCTACCAAATAATGAGTTTTGCAATAAACTTTTTTTAATGAAAAATGTAATTTTGGTTTAATCTACCTTTTGTTCCAAATTTCACCACTTGTCTTTTTCATAGTGTTATCACCCATTCTTTGAGTTGGCAAAAAACTACTATTAGCATTGCATTTGTAATCTCCATTATCAACTCCTACTTGGCCTCTATTATAGCTTCCCTCCAAGGTAAGCTGGGAAGTCTAACAGGCTTTATATACCTGAAGTTTCACCTGGAATGATGTCCAAAGGGATATATAGGCACAGCTCAGGATTATTTAAGTCTCTGTCATGAACTGAGGAAGAGGTGAAGACATGGGAAACCAGCAGTAAACCATCTTTATACTGTCCACTGTTTGTGCTAGCGATAGAGTTGCTTGGCCTATCACACAAAGCTTGTAAAACCTCGAAGTACTCATCATAATATGGAAAGGCACACATAAATTTTAGAAACACCTGATCACGAGACCCAATCCAGTTAAGGGAACTGCTGGCCAATTCTTTGGATCTATCCATTTGACCCATGGCTTCTAGGATAGCAATGGCAAGCCTTTTGGGCTTGGCATGTCAAAAATCTGGAAAATCATCAGATTCTGCTTCCCCACCTCTCCCTCTCCCTCACACACACTTCCTGAACAAAAGAAGAAATAATTATCTTTCCCTGATCTTGGTTACTCCAAACAGCAACACTCAGTGGTAAGCCAATGCTGGGCTTGAAGTAGAGGCCTAGGCCTCAGCATAAGCCCTAGCAGCAGTTCTGCCACTCAAAAATACCTTCATGCAGTGTTCTCTTTCTGTTGACAGCCCTCTGTATCCTATCCAAGACACACCCCATTTTCGAGCAGCCTTCCAGCCTCCAAAAATCTCACGTGAGAATGGAAAATGTGTTTGAGAACAGTTGTTGAGTGAATGCTTGTGGCATCCAAGTCACAGGATCACCATTACTGCCCTAAGATATGCTTTCAACTCCCAGTCACATGCCTTCCTCAGCCCTGCAGCGTTTTCTTTAGTAGTTCTAGATATTAAGTTTTACTTTGCTGTTTCCAACTTCCCTGTTTGCTGCTTGGGTCAGATGTGGCATTCTGACCTTAAGATGTTTCTCTCACTTCAGCCCCCCACACTTGCTCTTTTGCTTTGCTTTAGGTTTCCTTCTGTCACTTCATGCAAATAAAGGTCCTTCTGCAAAACATTCAAGACTGTATATTTGAGACTTTTCTTTCCTATGAAAATGGATCAGTGTGTATGTGGTGATCCTGGAACTTTCTCTACCATCATTCCATCTCAATGCAAATCTTTATAAAAAGAACAGAACATCTGGCAAGAAACATATTTTGTGTCTACTACATCAAAAGCAGTTTTTGCAAGTTTTTACAAACAAAACTCACCATCATCCCCGTTTCGTTTACAAAATACATATGGGATGAAGGATGTCCATCAAGGACACAAAGAGTAGGTACACATCATACTTTCCAGATAATAAACCAAAATTCACCAAACTAATCCTACGGGTATGTACTCACAATAAATTGAATCATGCATGGCTGGGTTCCCACAATAAACTAAGCTAAAATGTGTTCAGCTAGCTTTCTTAAACCTGGTATCCTCCAGATGATTAGGTTTATACAGTATCTCACATCCATAACAACATGCTAAATGAAAGGCAATGGGAATTGCTCTGACTTATCTTGAGGGCTTGAGGTAGGGAAAAGCAGGGTAGAAATATTGCTGGTAAAAGTTTCTTGCTTTAAAAAGGATGTCTAGCGCCCTCTAGTGTCTGGTTTGTGTAAAACACCTGGAAAATACTTCCATTTAAATCAACTGGTTGTGACTGCAAGAATAAATTATTCCTTGTTCAGAAAGAAGAGGCAATACATACATACCGTACATCATTAGGATCAGAATGAATGCTCAGTAAACCTTGCTCTCAAGGTGAGTCAGCAGAACTGACTCCCAATTCATTCCCAAGCGTTCCAGATTGTATTAGAGTTATAATATTTAACAAAAAGCTTCCAGGCTGTAAGCAATACCCACAGAGACTATAAATTGGAGAGTTTTTAAGAGCTGGATCTCTCAAGAAGGATTTAATTGATTTTCCTGCCACTGCAGTGTTGCACTAGATGGCTTTTGTGACCTTGTCCAAAAGTATAATTCGGTGATTTAAGAGACCTGCCTAAAGAACAAAACTTCTGACTTGGATGTTTTCATTTCAAAGAAGCAGCTAGCATGGAGGGCTATAATGAGACCATTTAGCAGTAAGGAAAACGTTTAAATGGGTCAGCTTCCTGATAATCCTTGGGTTGCTTTTTTAAAAAAGTTCAGCACATGTCTTGTGTATTCCATTTCCAAGTTGAAAAATATTTGAATGGCGGAAAGAAATGATAATTCTTACGCATATCAAAAGAAAATACAATACAAAAGCATCTTGCCTTTGAAGGAAGTGCTACAAAGCTTTGGGAGATAAGATAATAAATTGGAGTAGAGCTATTAAGACTGTACAGTGGATCCCTTAAACCATTTTCAGAGATCTCACAGCTGGCTTCACAAACCAGCACTATCCTCTCTCCAGTTTGGGACAGAGCAGCTGTCCCTAAATTGCAATCACACTACAACAACCTTACGGAGAGCGTCTCAAGATGCTACAAGAAAGAAAAAGTGTAAATCCGCAGAGGTCGGCCGGGAAAATACACCTGTGAACGGCGCTGCAGGGTGCAAGTCAGAAACCGGGTTTTAACCCACTTCTGAATTCGTTTGAGTCGGGGACGGGAGCCGATGCTTCGGGAGCAATTCTGCTCCTGCCGGAGGGTCAGGATGCTCCCGGGCTACATGCAAAACGTGTGAAGTTGTAAGAGTTAAAAAGATCTGGAGCCGGATGGCCCGTTTGAAAAGCGCCTAAATCCGGGAAAGGGTCGGAGCGGAGCAGCGGCTGCAGGGCCAGGCTACTGCCCCCCCCCTCCCGCCCACCCAAGCTCTGGGCGTGGGGCAAGGCTGCCGGGCGGGGGCCTCACCAAGCGAGGCCTTCCCTGCCAGCCTCCGCAGAGAGCGCAGCATGCATGGAAAATTCCACCACCGTCTCTCGCCGGAAACGCCACATCGGGCCTGGCCTCCGCTGCTTCCCAGTTTCAGCTCAACGTGGGCACGGATGCGCTCTCTCTCTCTCTCACACACACACACACCTCCATCCACCCCTTAGGAATAGCTGCCTTCCCGCCCGACCTCGGGCTGCGCGTGTCCTCCTTGCACCGGCTAACTTTACCTAGAAGGACCGATGCAATTGCAAGCCTCGTTGTCCGGGGCGGGGGAAAGAGAATACAGAATACAAGATAGTTCGCCGACTCTCCCTGCCCGCCTCCCGCCCCAAACTAGAGGCCGTTTTGCACCCGGATTGCAAGATTTCTGCTACTGCGGCCGAAGGACTCACTTTTCTCAGCTTGGCTCGCCCTCTTTTCAGTTGATTCCCGCTCCCCCCCCGCCACCCCCCCGCAATCAATCATCTCAGCTAAGTCAAAGCCCAAAGTTACACCCGCGTTAAAAACCAAACAATAATATCGGGTAATCGCACGGCAAAGGTGGTTTGTGCACTCACACGTCCGCGCCGCTCTTGCAACCCACCGTTCCTGGCCATCACGTTCCTCCGATTCAGGGCAAGTGTAAGCCAGGCTTTGCGCCTCCCTTTTGCTTGGGCCTGAACCAATCAGGAGACACCGAGCCGATTCCGCCCGAAAGAGCCGAAGAGTGAAACTTCGGAATCCTGTTCCCCCGCGCAAAACCCAAAATGTCTTTTGAGGCGATCGCTAAGTGGTCCCCACTCTCGGGGAAAGGACGAGTTGGTGACAGGCGTTCCTACAGAAAAGTAGACTTTCTCCCTCCTGCTTTTTGTCTTGAGTACTAACTAGCTAGAGAGTTCTTTGAAGCGTCTGCCGCAGCTATCCATCAATTCATAAACCCAGCCCAAGTTCATTTCAATTTCCCCTCAAATCTATTGCCTGCCATGACTCACTATAAGCGACGACGAACTGCCTCTGGTCTCTTCTTCATCAAGCAGCTTAAGCTGCCTACCTGGGGAAAGAAGTCGGAAACACCTGAGTGATGATTGTATAAAGCCAGAAGCATCCTTAGTTGTTTTATTCGGAGTTTGGCCATCCTTGATGCTGCAGAAATCTACCTTGCAAAGGAGACGTTGATCCCATTGAACTAATTCTCCATAGGTCACAGCAAATCATCTCCCTCCGCATAGTTGCAGAGGTAGAGATCTTGGCTGGGAGAAACATTGTAAATGCTTGATAAGGTACAATTGTCCTATCAGCATCTAAGAAAATATACTTGGACTTTGTAAAGTACCAATATATCAAACCACCACACTAATTAACCTGGGACTGAGGCAAAGGTACTGTTTCTTTAATAACTCACAAAGACTATGTTCACCTCAGATTAACACAAAAACAAATGAACTACATAAAATGTAATGCAAGAGCAATGCAAATGTGATTGCAACAAATTAAAATGAAACAGAAGGGAGATGAAAGTTTCCCATTGTTTGGTGTCTGAACATTAACCAAAAACGTCAACAACAGAAACAATGGATAATTTCAAGTACATTGGAAGCTTTATTGATTTTTTTTCTAAAATAAGACTCCTATATACATATTCACTAAATATTATAATATACCATAATCTGGGTAACATGATCTTTTGTCATGTCTGTCAGGTGGAATTCTCATCAGAAGTTAATATTCCTGCAAAAAATTTTTATATGGGAAGAAATTATTTCTGTATCATTTCAAAATTAAAGGTGCTCTCATGTTAAATATTAATTTCTGGGAAATCAGAAAACATCCTGGAAGAAGTCAGTGCCTGTCCAACTAAAATTAACCTTGAAAATTATACACAGTGGGAAATCCATTCTACCAAGCTAGGAAGAGGAGAAAAAATATGCTTAAGCATTAATTAGGTAAGGAAATATGCTAATTGGATTTAGATTTAAGATGAAAACACTATTACGCCAGATAACAGTAATCCAAACCAAGGAAATTGAAAGATGTTTGACTCTTAAATCAAATTAATCATCAACACCCAACATAAAAAAATGTCCTTGTCCTTGTGTAGTTCTCCTCTTTGGCCTTTGTTCTTTCCCAGGTCATTGCTCAATGTCATCCAGAGGACCATCAGTTCTCCAGATTATTTCCTTTTTCAATTCTGAAGAAAGAGTAGCATTTACATTTATGAACTGTAAAATATGTAGTTTCGTTAGCTGTTAGGAACATGTTAAAAACTGAGCTTTGGCAGAGAGCCTCCTGATGATATTTATAGATTTCAGTATACCATCTTTAATATTTTTTTATTTTTTATTTTCTTATGTAATGTCAAAGTTTTTAATTGTCATTTTAAAGGTACTGTGGATATTTTATTTACGATCTGTTTGTAGTCAGATTCCAGCTATACTAGTTCTATGGAGATGATTGGGGCACAGCTTTGTCTGGATATCAGGGCTGAATTTGACCCGTTACCCCTGATGAATTTGATCTGTTACCCCTATGAAATGGACAAGGTCTATATTGTGAGAGAAATTAACTGACTTCAAAAGCACAGGTACTGAAGGTTCTGATCAATTTCAGGTCCCACAAGTTTTTCTGCGCCAATTTTCAATTCTGATGTGCATGAAGGGTTTATTGATATGCACAACCTATTTGCTTCCATTCCATTTCTTGTTCCATGCAAATGAGCAGGATTTGTCATTCATCACAGACTGCAAACATGACCATTTGCTGAACAGGCAGAGAAAATGCTCCTTTAAGTTGTTGATGTTTGAAGCTCAAACTACCCAAGGAGCTGCTGATAAGTTCTACAGAGGAATTATTTAGTCTGTCATCTGCATCTCTAGAACTGTCTGGTTTGGTTCTGCAACCCAACAAGACACAGACTTCAGAGGGTAATTAGGACTGCAGAAAAAACAATTACTGCCAACCTGCCTTCAATCAAGGACCTGTATACTGCACGAGTCAAAAAGAGGGCTGTGAAAATATTTACAGACCCCACTCACATCCCGGACCCCTCACATCAACTCCTTCCCTCAATATGATGCTATAGAGCACTGCACACCAGAACAACTAGACACAAAGGACAGTTTTTCCTGAATGCCATCACTCTGCTAAACAAATAATGCCCTCAACACTGTCCAACTATTTACAAAGTCTGCACTACTATTACTATTACTCTTCTCATCATTCCTTATCACCCATCCCCTCCCACTTGTGACTGTATGACTGTAACTTTGTCGCTTGTATCCTTACGATTTATATTGACTGTTTCCTAGTACAATTTGATTGCTTATATGACTATTATTAAGTGTTGAACCTTATGATTTTTGACTCTTGGTGAATGTATCTTTTCTTCTATGTACACAGAGAGCATTTGCACCAAGACAAATTCCTTGTGTGTCCAATCACACTTGGCCAATAAAGAATTCAATTCAATTCTATTCTATTCTATGTAAGCAGGTATTTTACAGATAGAAATGGGGCTCAATTTGTCAATCAATTTTGTGGATGAAACAACTAATTCAGATGCCTGACAGCAGTTCCATGGACTGCAGCACAGTTTAACTCTTTCAATATAAGAAATAAATAATGTGTTACTAGACTGTGTTAGACATTCCAGGGAAAAGAGTAACTTAACAGAGACAAAAGAAAACATGCAGAACAAACAGCTGAAATATTTACTAAAGGGTTTTTTTTTTAGCTTTCAATTTAAAATATATTTAATTCATCACCATACTTTAGCAGTGATTATACTATTATAATAAGAACATTCCTTTTGAACCTGCATAGCAAACCTATTTCTGGAGGACGTCTAAGCATTTCATAAGCAAATCATAACTTTCTGTAAATGATTCCACCGGCTTTGGCAATCTTCCTCTAGCCTCACTGCTGTGTCCTTCTTCTGTTCCATTAGCTTTATCCTCTATCCATCTCTGCAGCGCCTAAAAAAATTAGAAACTTTATTCAAAATGGGCATGCATAGTAAGAAATCAGAAAATATAGGCTAGCTATTTAGTATCAAGTCAAATTTCTACACTGATGACTTCTTTCACACACCATATTGCTGATCAATTTTCTTCAGATGCATTTCATTTCCTTAATGTCATAAAGAAAACAATGAAACAAGCCCTATGTGGTAAACCAATCCTGTATATTACAAATGGTTGGGTGTGGCAGATCTATGGATTAATTTTTTCAAAAAATTCTTGGCTTTTTCATAAGTCCACACTACCCAGAAGACTTTCCTATTATTCTGCTAAGCTGAGCTTTTGACTTGAGTCTCTAACTCTGCCTTGAACCTCATCATTACCATCAACAGCACAGAATGCAGCGGACCAATGTAATGAATCCCTTCTCATCTCAGTTTCTCATTTCTGCCAGAGCTGGAAAAAGCAGCATTTAAAGCAGTTCTCACACTGTTAAAGAATACAAGGCTCCACCCTGAAGTGACATACCTTGTATCTTTCCAGAATGCTGAAACCAAGTACAGATTGCAACTTGCGCAAGCAAATAGGGCAAAGGTCTAATGGACGTCTGTCTGATTCCTCCAGATGATTCGATCCCTGCATAACACATTGTAACCACTGACAATGATGGAGCCCAAAGATGTGTCCAATCTCGTGAGTCAAAGTCTGAAACACAAATATAGCCACATCACCTAAGACAACTTAAAACCACAACAGTTGTGCTGAATAAGCTTAATAGTCCTTATAGCACCGCTAGTTATTTTTCAAATCAGAGTATATGCTTTCATTGCAGGAAGTAGAATAACTTAGAGGGCAAAATCATTTTACAGTGGGGAAAAATGATGACTGAATTTTTGCTCTGCCATAGACTATGAATGGAGGAGTTCTACTTAAACCAGCCTTCTCATTAGGTTTGACTTATTGATTGTGGACTTGAACAATTGTAGTTGCAATCCAGGGCATTTGGACCACAAGAGATTTTGTGAGAAAAGGTAGAACTGGCCAGTGTGATAGACTGGGATTGGATTACAATTGGAGAGAGCCAGATACAAGGCCAATTTTAACCAAACAGAAATGCGAAGGGTGACTTTGGGTCAGGCCCTCTCACCCCAACCTCATAGCTTTGCTATCTGAATACCTAGAGAAAAGGCAAATGATAAATTTAACAAACAAATCAAATAAAAAGTATTTAGCCTTTTATTTTACCTTTAGACTTTTCAGTCAATATAAATATTAACTAAGCCATTTTAATATTTTAGCAGAACAATATTTAATTCAGTATAATTGTACTTACATTATTCTAAGATATGAAAAGCCCAATAAAAATAATGAATCAAAACAGATCTCAAGCTTTAACTATTAAAAGTTTTCTCTAATCCACAAGCCAATGATCTCCCTGTGCAACAAAGGGTCCTCACATTTTCTGCATGATTTCAATCTATCCAAATGATCACATGAATTAATTCATATTTTTGGTCTAGAATAACAACAACAAAATAATCATCGGAGGAAATATTTTATTTCCTGAAAGAAGGGAGTTGTGGTATTTATATCATATGCTTATCATAGGGTAGGAATGATTTTTTTGGTTTTGTGCGACACATTAATACATAAATAAATAAGCTGAATCCTCACAATCGGTTAGATTAAAATGTGGTTGATTAGGTTTGCGATGCCAACCTAATCAGCTGCTCTTTCCTCACCATGCACTTATAACATCCTATGGCAGGGAAACTTGGCTCTTTTATCACTTATGGACTTCAACTCCCAGAACTCCTCAGTGAGCCATAAAAGGTTCCATCCCTGGCCTACTGGTTTTTCAGTTGTGGGGGAAATCAATTTTTGACTTGAATGGGACTGTTTAATATACAAATGTAAGTGATAAAAGAGCCAAGTTTCCCTACCCCTGTCCTATGGTATCTAATCATTCTGCTAAAATAGTACTTAAAATATAGGATTTATAATGCTGCAATGATGGTTAATGAGTGATCCTAGAAGACACTATAAATCAGCGGTCGCCAACCAGTGGGCCGGGGAACACTGGTGGTCCGGGAGAAAATTGTGGTCTGCAGAGAAATGTCACCCCCAAAGCACCCCCCAAAGCAATTCAGGCTACGTGAGAACACAGGGCTTGCATCACTTGCATTGTGAACAAGACGAGGTAATGAGGGGAAGTGTGAAAGGGTGGAGGGGAGAACTTGCCCCACGCGCCCCACGTGCCTGGCCTGGCCACCAGGCTGCTTCTTTCCACTTCTTTTTTCTTCTGCTTTTGGCTGCACGCAAGGAAAGCAGCAAAAGTCTTTCTTTCTCTCCCCCAAACTCTGCCAGAAATGAGTCTTTAGGACCCTGCAAGGCATCCTGCTCCAAGAGGCTGCGCCGGTGCGACAAGTCTCAAAAAGACTCATTTCTGGTGGAGTTTGGGGGAGAGAAAGAAAGACTTCTGTTGCTTCTGCTGCTTTCCTTGCATGAAGCCAAAAGTCTCTCTCCCTTTCTCCCCCTGAGAACGGAGCTGGAGACGGTATCCCTGCGATCCCAAATAAAGAATGATTGATCGGTAGGAAAACGGGGTGGTGGATTTTCCTGTAGACTTTTTTTTGGGATTTTCCCAGGAGCTCTGGTCCGCAGGATTTAAAATTATGAGTTTGGTGGTCCCTGAGGTCCAAAAGGTTGGCGACCTCTGCTATAAATCACTAGTGAGGGAATGACCAATATCCATTTCAAGTCATTTGATTTCTAAAGATGACAAAATTTTAATTACATTGGTGGACTTCCGGTTTGCTGGGCTTCGCCGGCAGCAGGAATCCGCGATCGTGCGCGGTTTCTGCTTGCACTCGCCACTGGAGTGCCCCGAGCCAGCCGGCTTCGGGGCTAAAGTCACCCTGTAAAGGTGGCTGAAGACAGGGGAGACCCGGCAGGGTTTTGAGGGGAGTCCGCACCTCCCCTCCTCAGCTGGCTTAACTCCCTTTTCTGAAGGCGGTAGACCGGCGGTCAGAAATGGCTGCCTCAAAGAAGCACTCATCCGGAAAAGAATGTGCAGGAGGAAGCTAAGAAGTGAAAGTTTTGGCTGACCAGGATAAGAAGCAACATTCAAGATATCCTGGAATTTAAACTTTAAAAAAGATTCATCGTTCCCAAGGAAGATCCGGAAGCAGCGAATGAAAGTGAAAAGGGAAACTTTGTTTTTTCTCACTCTCCTTCCTTACAGTGACAGCAGATGAATGAGAAATCGGAAAAACCCGCTTTGGCATTAGCAGGTAATTAAACTGAAAATCAAAGCCAAGGGGACAACAAAGATTTCTGAACATTGAAAAAACTTTTTTTTCGCTGTAAGTGGGAAGGGAGAGGAAAAGAATAAAGAGTAAGATTTGGCTGGAGGAGACTGCTTGGAATCTAAAAGAATCGAAAGTTAAATTGTAACAAGACTTCTAAAAGATACATTTTAATTGGAACTTTGTAACTGAATTGTAACCCCAGGAAGAGAAAGTGAAAAAAGAGGAAATGAAACAGCTTGTGTGTATTTGGACTGCTTGGTGACTTTGGGACTTTTGGAAATTATATTTTAATGATTAAAAATTTAAAAATTTTTTATAATGGCACCACTTGTGGATGAACTGAAAATTGAATTTAAAAAATATAAAGAAGAGGAACAAGCAGGGAAGGGCTCTTTTGGCTCTGTTTTCCACTTTTTAGAAATGGCGATTTCCACCCATGAGAAACTACAAGAACAAGAAGATTTGGACAAAGAAGAAGCCATCTTTAATGAACAAGTAACTTTATCTGGAGAAGGAAGGGGAAAGAGGGGAAAGAGAATGGAGAATTTAAGGCCTAAAAAAACAACCAAAAAAGGGAAAAATAAGGTGAAAAGTGGGTATAATGTCAGAAAGCAACAGGAAAGAGGAATACAGAAAAGGGAAATGGAGATGGAGAGACAAGGGGGTAAAAAGGGTGTGAAAAAGCAAGGGAGGAAGGAAGGGAAGAGAAGCTACAAGGGTTTGAAACAAGATGTAAAGAAACAGGATTTATTTAGAGATAATGGGTAAAAATATAACTGAAAAGGAGATTCTGCAAAGGTACATATAGACTGTATTGTTGTATTTGTATTAGAAATAATGTTAGAAAATTGGAACAACATGATTATAAAATGGGATAAAATATTCAATGTAATTTAGTGAAACTTTTTCTTTTTTGAACAAAATAAATGAAATGAAATAGGAGAGAATTGAGTTAAGAAGGAATGGGAACATTTTAATTACATAATGTTTTAAAATACAAGTGAAATGGGGGAGAAATAATTACGCAAAATTTATAAGGGTTCCCATAGAAGCATGATACTTATTTGAAAAGGAATGTGTAAAATGTTTAAGATTTAAATGAATATTAATTTTAACGATAGAGTTCAACTGGTATGGATTGTTGTTTTAATTATATTATATATTTATAATTTTTTCTTTTTTAAAAATATAATGTGTAGCTTTAGAATGTACTAAGCAGAATGCGAATGAAAGTTATTTATTATATTAAGTGTTAAATTTAGGGGAAAGATATAAAGGCGTCATATTCCAATCAGTGATTACAGGAGAAATTTTGTGTTAATAAGAAAAGATAATAGACAGTTAAAACAGGACAGACAAAGGATATAAGTATAATGATTTAAATTGAGATGAAATAAATAAAATAGAATTAAGAGAGTGAAAAGAGGGGAGAAGCTATATAGAAAATCTAGAATGGTAATAAGATATGGAATGGTATATAAAAGTGAGCATGAATTTGAATTTATGTCTGTACGAAGAGATGTAACCCGGGATCAAGCTGCTTTCAAAAAAGATGTTTTATGTTTTTATGTTTTGTGTTTGGTTTGTATGTTTGTTTTTTAAAAATTAATAACATTTTTGGAAAAAAAATTTAATTACATTAACTGTTTATGATTATGTAGCGCATGCATATATTAACTATAAAACTGCAGGAATAAAGGAATCTGATTCCTTGCAATGTAAATCTGAGGAAATCATCAAGAGATTTCCATGTAGCTTAAGAAAAGTAAACTGCGGGGCTATTATACTTCCAATCCAGTCAAGCTTCCCAGGCCCTAAGCCAGGGTTTCCCAACTGTGGCGATTTCAAAATGTGTGGACTGCAACTCCCAGCAAGCTGACTGTGGGATTCTGGGAGTGGAAGTACCCAGATCTTAAAATTGCTGAGGTTGGGAAACACTAAGCGCACGACTTACATGTTAATTTTTTTTTAATAGGCTACTGTTCTTTTAATTAAAAGAGCTGAAGTTGCTTAAAAACTAAGAAAGAAGGGAGGATATCAAAACAGAAATTTGGTTTCAATATAATATACATATAACTCAATATAACTCTAATAATTTAAAACACTTACTTTGCAGGATCTCAGAAGCAATTGACTTGTGATTTCAGGTGTATAGTAGCCATCAAACACAGAATAGTCAGCTGCAGGAAGCTTTTTCACTGTTTTCAACCTGCCCTTGTAGTTTGCACTGTAGAAGTCACTGTCATATCTGGCAAAGCTGAAGATCCCCACCCCTTACCAAAGCAAAGGGGAATTCAAATTAAAAGTTGTACCAACAGGAATCTGCTGCATTAACCATGCTACATATGCATATTATACGTATCCAAAAGAATATTTCTAATACAGAAACCTTGCAGTCCATTTCAAATCCCCGAGAGTTGTCATAAAACTGTAAGTTTTAAAATGACAGGAGTAATAAATTATTAAGTATAATAGATCCTATTCTATTCAGGGCTATTTATTTTAACTACATTTAAATTCTATTTAATCTTCAAGGTAATTACTTTTTACTGTCTAGCGCTTGGCATGACGCCAAAGCTAAGTGTTCTCCTCGGCTTCGAAAAAGGATCAAATATTTAAGGGGAGAGAATCCTTGTTTCAGAGCAACCATCTGTTTGTGTCTTGAAGTAAAGGTGTTTTCTCTTTCACCCCACCTGGACCAATTAGCTGCAAAACAGTCCACTCAGCAAATGAGTTTAGAAAGGGCAGAAAAGTCCCCCAAAACAGTTTTGCCCTGAGGCTTAGCACAACCCATTCGGAAAGGCAGATCAGAAGAAATGGGAGAGGAGAAATGGAACCCAAGTAATGACCAAAAGCATCTTAATGACGTCTCGTGTGTTCAGTTAATTGCCTCCTCTACACAATTGAAAAAAGGTCTGAAATATGAGAAGTCCTTGCTACTGTCTGAGCTTGGTTGTTTCCCTGCAGACATTTCATTACCCAACTAGGTAACATCATCAGTGCACAGGGCACATCAAGAAGAGATTGGACAGCCATTTGTCTGAAATGGTATAGTAGGGTTTTCCTTATTGAGCAGGGGGGTTGGACTAGAAGACCTTCCAAGTCCCTTCCAATTCCTGTTATTCTGTTTAACAACCAAGTTCAGAGAGCACCAAAGTCCCCTCATTTCAACCCTGAGCTACAAATATTCTCCTCTATCGGTATTGGAATATTACAAGGTAACTTTACCACAACTCCCATTTGTGCAAATAACCATTTCAGAGAAGAATGTGTCTTTTGCAGGTAAATGAGGCTTTGAGAAAATATACCAACTCTCCAATGGTTTCATGTTTCCTTCCAAAATACTTGGTTTGCAAACATATAACTCAAGATATCCTATGCATGACCATCAATAGAAATGCTTTACTCCAGGAATGGCAAATTAAAGGCTCCTAGGCTTTATTATAAAAAGGCTTCAGATGTACTACCACTGCCCTCTATTGGTCAATGACAGTAAAAAAAATTGAAAACAGTTAACATCTTCCTCTCCATCTCAGACTTTATTATTCTGAGAGCCTCTATATATTCCTTTCTGCAAACCACTGGATAATAATATTACCCAAGGATAATACTTGGACTTGGATAATATTCAGTAATCAAACTGCAAAAGTCCATGAGTTTAATTTCCTGAACCCCACAGAATAACCCCTGGGCTTTAAGTCTCCAGCAATTTTGCCACCAAAATTCAAGCCAAACCCAATCCTTAAATATTCCAGGACCTCAAGATAGAATGTCACTGTTCATTAGGGTACCTGCCACATGTGAATAGAATGCTTCTACACTGCAAAGATTGTGGAAGATGAGTCATATAATGAGAACTATATTAGAACTCAATGCACTCTTCTAGCATTCTGAGGTTTGGATTACACTAACACATAATAAACCAATTTACGTATTTGTACTTTAGCATACTAATAAATGCGTGAATCCTGTCAAGGCCAATGAATTACATGATCCTTGGGCTTGCCACTAAAAGATGTTTTACTGTGTAGAACAGGAGTGTCAAACTCACGGCCTCTGGGCCGGATGCCTCACGCGCCAGTCACGCTCCCCGGTTTAGCGAAGGGGGAAAAAGTTGTGATACATCACCTGATGACTTGTCATTGCGAGGTTGACACCCCTGATGTAGAAGATCTTTTCCCAAGATGCTGAGCACTGGAATCAGGCCAATCACACAGGAGTGTGATACCTACATTTTCAAAATTCTTTTCATCCTACTAAAAATAATGTGTGGCAAATTGTAAAACTATGGATATACTAATGTGCAATCAAGAAAACTGCATGGATGCCTCCACAAAGCCAGCAGAAAAGAAAACTGACTGTAGTGGTTACTTTTACTTTTTAGTAGTGAAGTACAATATTTGCAATACAATGCACTATGATGCAGCCTGAAGTTACAAAAACAGTATCCTGTTTCTAACTACTCCTCTACACTGATAAACAAGGAATGCAAGGATATTGTTATGTTCACTTAAGGTATATTAAACTGCATCTGAGTTAAAGGGAAACAGTCTGTGATGCCTAAAATAACAGGCTATGGCTCCTGCACAGAATTGGCTTCTACTGAAAACCAGCAGATCTAGTTTTCTTGCAGTGCAAACCCCCCACTCTTTTGCCCTTTTAGTAGTGTCACTACAATTCTAAAGTAATTTTCTCTAGAAGTAGTTCTATTTCATGTAAACTATGAAAAAATGATTGTTCAAAGTCATATTATAAGTCACCCTGAGAACTTCAAAGGAAGCCAACCACATACCTTCTGTTAAGGAGGCTTGTCCAAAGACAAAATTCCAAGAGTCCTTGGGGTAAAGATCTATCACGGTTATTCCCACAATGCAAAAAGCATCCTTTGGCTTTTTTTTCTTTAAGTAACTCAAGAGATACCCTATATGAAAAACAGGTATCAGTGTCTCTCCACAGAAGGCAGTAATTGTATAATCAAGAACTGCAGCCATAACAGTAATCCTGAAATAAGACAGATATTAAAATGACCGCTCCAAGTTACACATCACAGAAGCAAGGGGGAGGGGGGAAATAAGGACTATGAATTTAAACCTAATTATTTTGAATTTAGTTCCCTTAAAATGAATGTGAAATTTGCAATTAAAACAAATCCAAGCATACTCCATTTGTTTTATGATGGAGTATTTATTTACCATGTATGTACAAAAACACCAGCAAAAGGAAGAATCATACAGCATTTCAACAACACATATTTTGTATTCATCAGATTTTGGTTCCAACCCTCAGCATCCTTAAATTAAAATAATTAGGTAAGAGATGAAATGAAAAATCTCTGCTTCTGGCCAGGAGGAAAAGATATCTCCACTCAAAAACAACAACAAATACACTGACTTCCAGGCAGTTTAATAAACCTCATCATAGAATAGACTAGCTCAGCATATCAATACAAAGGAAATAAGGGCATAATACTAACACAGAAGGTAGGCCTTAATAGCAACTCTAACCTGATAGGTCAAGTTCATCTTTCATCAAGCATCATTTTTTTTTACCTTTGATTATGATCAGTTACTCAATATCAGCCCAAGAAAATATTACAAAATTATTTATATTTATTAAGTTTATATGTTGCCCATCTCACCAATAAGGTGATTCTGAGCACCTGAAATTTATAATCCAGTTGACAAAATTGATCAAAATCACAAGAATGAACTCATCTTAGCAGTTTTGTCTATTCCTCGTACCTGCATGGATCTGCAGATTGTGTGTGTATTCATTGATTCGAAAAGCACAACCTGTGTGCGAAACTGGCGTTGGGTCTAGGATTCTTACAGTCAGGCCGTAGTAAAATGCTTCACAGTAATCTCTCAGCCATTTCAAGTAGACATCTGTGCTAACTTTGGCATCTCCAAAAGAACCTAGGTCCAGAAAACATTATCTTATAGCAGTTTTTTTCCTTCCACTGTTTATAGGCAAAATCATGTAATACAACAGTAAATGTTAACTTTACTTTGTAACTCTCTTGCTATACAATTCTGAGTAGGAACGATTAACTTATTTTAAAAGACAGGAGAAAAAGCCAAAGAACATTTAGCGAACAAAAATAGCAATGTAATACAAAAAGCAGATATCAGTATCTAGGAAAATTGTAGGATCTAGGCTTTAACTACATGCCCACTTGGGTATATATTTATTACTCAAAATAGGTTCTTTTGAATTTAAGCATGCACTGAATTGGGCTTTATGTTTTATTATCTTTGCTTTCTTAATGTTCATTTGATACAGTATAAATCTGATCTCCTACATCACGGGTGTCAAACTCGCTGTGTCATGTTGCCGTCACGTGACATTTTGCAATGTTTTCCCCCTTCATGGAGCTGGAGTGGGCGTGGCCTGCATGTGACGCATCCAGCCCACCAGTTTGACACCCTGTCCTACACGTTGTGATATGAAGAATCAGACTGCCTTAGCAACCTTCTCAAGTAGAAGATAAAAACCCATCCATTGCTATTCCTTGTTGCCCACATTCTGGAATTGTAGGAGTATGTAAGATTCTTTAGCTCATGCTATCAGTTCAGAGAAAATTATCCTGAAAAACTGGCCTGATAATAACCAGGTTTGGATGACAATTATGCAAGTGGAAAGCTTGAAAGTGGCCTCTTTAATTAATTGTTATTTAATGGCTCAATTAGCACTTTCATAGCCGATTCTTTAACATTACCAATGGGCTGGATGTAAATCTGTCTCTTCTGTGGGGTTGGCAAATTTCTGCAGGGGTCATGATAAAACTGTGAAAAATCCTGGGTGGGTTCTGGATGTGAGGAGATCCAGTCTGATTCGGATTCCAGAGTTATGGGTTTAAAAAGAGCACTGTCTGGTTGAAATGCTTCATTCAGCAAATGCTTCTCCTTAGGATCAAACTTCTCATAAAGCTTCAAAAGCTGTCTGTCCTTGGAGATAAGAGCTGTTTTCAATGCCTCCTCAGAATGCCTAATTACTTTCATCTAATAACAAGAAACAAAGATGAATACTGGTTATGAAATCTGGCTCTTACACGCACATTATTTTAAACAGTTCCTCTTTGCCATCAGTTAAGTCTTGCCAATTCCTCTGATTCTTATTGCAAGCAGATAAGTAACAAGCCAAGTCCTGGACATGCAACATAGCTTAGTGCTTATTCAGCAAGGATCATGTCCTACCCAGGCAACAATCAGCTTCTCCATTCCTGTACCAACTATTATTTCATAACCAACTTCTGCTTTCCGACAAGATCACCATGGGAAAGATTTGGTGCAAGCTGTCCTCAGTCTAGTTCCTGAATTAGTTCACAGATCACAACTTTTAAAAAAATCCAGTACATGCAATGTTGGTTTGAGGGTTATTGTCGACTAGTATCCAGATGATTCTCATACAAGGCATAATTCATAACAACTTTAATCTCTGTGGTACATATAAATTATTGTATTATTTAATTGAGTCCATGTTTCATTGCATCCAACATTTTCCTCTCAATTATGCTCATCTGGAACATCTGCAAACATTAAACTATAGAAAGGATTATTAGGGCAGTTTTCCGTTTTCTATCATTAATGGACAGATCGTGTATTTTTCATTTTAAAATGACGTGGTTACATTGTGAAGTGACTGTTATGGAGACTCTTTTATTCTTTTTAAGATTGTGTTCTGGCCATCTTTTGCTCAATTCACATCTCAAAGTGCAGCATATAGTTATTAGATTTTATTCCATCTTTCATACAAGAATTCAAGATGGCATATGTCGAACTCAGTCTTCCTACTTTCCTCCAGATCAACTTGGTAAGTTATGCTGGGTTGAGAGAGGGGAGGAAAAATGGCCTAATCACCTAGTGAGTTTCCATTGATAACAGCAGTTTGAACTTAAATTTCCCTGGTGCCAGTCCACTATTAGATTATAGCGTACACATTAGATGGAATTGATGAGGTCCTCAAAAAGAGAATGAGTTAAGGCATCTAAAACTAGAAATAGTTATCTTTTCTTTCCTTTGTCTCACCTCATACATTAATTTCTTTAGTTTACTATTTTTCTTACTCTTTTTCTGCACTTTGCATATAATTTCTTATTCCAAAAGAGAATATCATGATGAATATGAATGCATTTATTGCATTTATATACTAATAAGTCTTGAAAATAACATGTTCCCAAATTTCACTGCACATCAATGGCACCCACAAACAACTTTCAACAGTCTGGGAAAGCCAAAATAATTGTTATATTTGTTCAATACTTGATAATCTCCAATGTAATTCTTTCTTTCTAAAAAATACATAGACATACCATATTCCAAACCTGTTTTTGACAGTCCTCTTAGTTTCAAAAAATACCTGCCATGTGGTAAAGTGAGATTGATTTTCTTATGCACAAATCTAAGATGAGGGAAGCAAATTAGATCCTTCTAATTTAACTAAGAAAACATAATTTAAGCAAACTTGTTCTTCAGCTAAATTTTCAGAACCTCTTTCAAAATGTATTCTTCTACAATATATTTCCAAAAATGTCTGAAAAGGTTTGAAGGAGTAACAATTTTTTTAGTAACTTCCTCTGTCAATAATTCTACAAAAAATATTTTTGCAATCCATATATACTGGATGGCAGGCAGAATTATAATCTTTAATTAAGTATTTTTTCTACACAACCATAAACACATTCTTGGATATTGTAATTTATTGGGAGCAGGTGTCATGTTTGTACATTCATAAGTTTGCATATTCGTAATGGTGTTTTTACATTCATTTTCTGAAATTTGATCCGGTTTATTATTATTATTTTCCTGAAATCACTCATTTACCAAGTTAGGTACCACCTAAGACAAGGCAAGCCTTCCATTGTCCCCATTTACTCACGTCTGTCTTAAATCCCCAGGTTACATACATATATTGGTCAATTTCTGTAGTGATTTAATATAGAAGCAACATAACATACTGCGAGGAGAATAATTTGATCTTCAGCTTAAGCTCACATCCCGGAAGAAGAGAGCCAATTTTATTCTGAAATAAAATAAAATAAAAATAAGAAAAGTGTACATTCAAAGTGACAATAAAGGTAAAGTTATTCTATTATTGTAGTTGTTATTATTATTCTATTTAGATGGCGTCCAAATCAGACTATCCCCTGCCTGCTGCAGCTCATTCCGGTCTCCATCTTCCAGGAAGCAGACGTTCCCCCTTTCCCCGCCCCCAACCCGCACCTTGACGCCGCCCAAACTGCACGCGGCCCACTGCACGCGCCCGGGGCCGCCGTTGTTGCTTGACGCCGCTGACAACCGCCCTACGGACGCATGCACGTATCGGCCGGCCGGCGGGCCTACCGCTTACATGTCTGCGTTGCTAGGCTACCGGTCCCGCCCCTCTCCTTCTCTCCGCACCCCTCCCCCACCCGCCGCAGTCTCAACGGAAGCAGGTCGTTTGGCGCATGGAGAGCGGAGGGCGGGGCTGGAAAAGGCCGAGCTGGGTGGCAGAGCGCGAACCTTCTCGAGGAGTTTCTCTCGGAAAGTTCGTACTTCCACGTCGCCAGACAAAGGCGCCCTCGGGCTCGCCTCAAGAGAAGTTCTGGCCACGCGGGAGGGTGCGTGTGTGTGTGTGTGTCAATAAGCTGCAATTAAGAACGCTGTGCAAATGTAGCCAGCACCTCGGAAGGAAGGAAGTATTTCGACAGCATCTCGGAAGGAAGGAAGTATTTCGACATTACACTCGCGTCCCCCACCCCCCACAGCAGCAGGCAGCAGTATCTCGCCAAAAGTTTGTGGGAGTCGGCTGCAGACTTTAGTGTGAATAGCCCTGTAAACGAAAGCTTTTGCACGCACCCCCTAGGTAGTTGGGATTCAGGGAAGCATTTATACAGAACGCACACAAATGCTTCTGTATGCACACATAGGCAGAGATGTTTCTCCCTCGATGCCAAAGTGCAACATCCGAAGTGGTGGGGCTGCTTATGCAGTGAACTGTGGCAGGCAGGATTGGGGCTGGGCTCTTGCTGTCAAAATTACTGTGGTCAGACTGCGCACAGTAGTAAACAATGGTGAATTTCTACAGTATGGCTGAGCTTAAACTGTGGCTGGCTGCTTTGTGGCTCGGTCTGTTGTGTGAACCAAGTCTTGGTTCTGTAAATCAACCCAAGCATTTGGATGAGTAGTATTTTAACGCATATACAGGTAGCCCTCGACTTATGACCATTCATTTAGTGACCATCTGAAGTTACAGCAGCACTGAAAAAAGTGACTTAAAATCATTTTTCATACTTATGACCCCCTATGGTTGTGAGTGGGAGGGCTATCTGTACTTAGTAAAGAAAGGATGTTGCTTAACAACACAGCTGACTAGCATAATATATTACATTGGGAAACTAAGGTTTTGACATGATTGATATAAAGAGAATATTGTTTAGCTTCAACGCAGCATAGCAAATTGATTAGAATTTTGAGAATAATGAGGGCTTTTCCCGCTATAATTGATACCAATAACATAATTTCAATGATATTTTGATTGCCAGATCTGGGAATAACTGCCCCAGTTTAGTTTGTGTATAGTACAAGCATTGGGGGCATATGGATGAATACTAGAGTATTCTGAATGTTATATAAGACTTTATTCATATTCATTAGAACATTAGCTTTTGGAAATGGAAATGAATGTATTAATATATGCTAATTAGATGCAGCCACATAAATATGGAACAAAAAAAAAAAAGACAAAACTTCCACTCTTGGAGCTATTAAAACAAGTGATATATAGGTAGTCCTTGACTTACGACCACAATTGAGCCTAAGATTTATGTTGCTAAGATTTGTTAACTGAATTTTGCCCCATTTAACGAACTTCCTTGTCACAGTTGTTAAGTGAATAACTGCAGTAGTTAAATTAGTAACAGGTGTGTGAATCTGGCTCCCCCATTGACTTTGCTTATCAGAAGGTCGAGAAAGGGAACACTGCGACTGTCATAAATATGAATCAGTTGCCAAACGTCTAATTTTGATCACATGAGCATGGGAATGCTGTAATGGTTGTAAGTATGAAAAATGATCATGTCACTTTTTGCAGTGTCTAACTTCAAAAGGTCACTAAGTCAACTGTTTTAAGTCGAGGATTACCTGTAACAACATACCTTTCCTGAATAGCTAAGTTTAAGCAAGACTAACATTGAATCAATGAAGGTGTCTTAGTTACTTTTGCCTAGGAAAAGTGGCAAGAAAAGCAGCTTCTCTTATTTACAAGTGCTGTAGAGATTGATGCCCAATTATTTGTTAACATGAAAGAAAATGTCAAGGGAAAGAGGAATATCTTGTTCTGCTTTTGGCACTAAGGTTTGGTAAGGTATGTTATTCATTTAGGTATCTTACAAGTAATGAATACGACTACTATTGTATTTGCATTATTTGCCTTGATTTAAAATTTTAAGTGTCTGTAGATATAAGTAGTTGGATAAAAAATAATGCAAACAAATTTAATGGCAGTAAGTTTTAAAAGTCAGAAAAGATTGGTGGATTTTTTAAAGTCATTTTGGCTGGAATTGGAGATTTTTCCCTTTGTCGTATCATTGTGCAATCTCAAAGGTACTTTTAAAGAGAAGGAAAACTTGAGAAATTTTGCTCAACACAGGCAAGGCTTCTAGGTAGGTAGAAATAAGATCAATCATGTATATGGCATTGCATAAAAAAATCAAAATCTCTTTCCTAATATATTCTGTTCATACTATGTTCAACTTCCTTTTTAGGACAAGATAAAACACTTGAAAACTTTTAACTTGGTACATAAATCAGTCTACATAAAAATGTGGTTTGCTTCTTGTGGATTAACCATGTTGTATGAACCTGAACAGTTGTTGTTCATTCATATTTTAGTTTGTGAATAAGGGCAGTTAAAACAAAGGTTCAAGAAAGATTGAAAACAATGGCTTTTTTAACTAGAGAAAAAATAATTTAGGAAGATTATAGTTTTGAGGCACTTTAGTTAAGCATTCAAATCCTACTTAGCTCAGAAAGTGTAATTGTTCTCTTTGTATGCATTTAACTTCTCTGAGTTAATGTTTGTATACATCAACACATTTTTTACCTGTGACTTATGCAGGGGTGGGATTTACTGGTTCTGTCCAGCTCTGTAGAACCGGTAGCTCTGAAGAGCAGCAGACATAGAACCGGTTCTATGTCTGCTGAAGTTTTGGCCCACCCACCTGCCTGGGCTCTTACCTGACCTTTTATTTCTTGCTTTTTCAACCCCAGCTGCTGTGCAAGGCACAGCTGCAGTTGAAAAAGCAGGAAAAAGGTGCTGTTTCAAACGCTGCTTCTCTGCAATTAGGGCTGCTTAGCTGTCCAGGCGTGCACATCGTAAATCACTGAACCTCGTAAATCATGGAACCGGTAGTTAACCCTGTCGGATCCCACCCCTGGACTTATGTAAAGTTGATTCCTTAATCTTTGCAAAAGTATTACAGCAAACCACAACACTAAATTTAGTGGATAGCTTAATTAAAGTTTACTTAAATCTAGGTGGTCAAAAATGATCGTACTGAAAACTAATTTTAAAAAAATTCTAAAGTAAAAAAATACAAGCTTCATGAGGATGTATATTGTTTATTTACTGTCAGTAATTTACACAAGGCAGTATTAATGGCTTGAACACTTGCAAATTATATACAGAGAGCAATGTACAACTAAATGAAGCTTTCATCTTTTAGTAATCAAACCATTTTAAATGATACATTTGAAGACTTTCTTTAGAAATAATTTATTGCCAAACATGGACAAAAAAGGGGTGGAGCGAATTTACAAAGTAGTAGATTCTCTTCTTTCCTAGAAAATTGCAGAAGATACACATATTTCAAAAGTATAGTCATAAAACATATCCCTCATTTATACAAAAGTAATACAAATCATGGTTTCATTAACGATTCTGTGGGGTCTTTACAAAATATGTTTTACAAACAACTTAATAGCACATAACCTGTTGCTGCTGTTGAAGAAAGTGAAAGCAGTTTTAAATAATTGGCAATCATCTGCTTTCAAGTATAAGTTAAACAAAACTGCCAAGGACACTACTGCAGCGCTATATATTTTAAACCTGATTTTAAAATAAGACTTAAGTTGTGGTACCATCAATCAGAAGTTCTTAATTGCTTTTTGAACAGATAACCATAATACACAAAAAAACCTAACCAACAGCTTAAGAAGAAATTTGTTATTGTTATCTCCATTTAAATTTATCCTTTAAAATAGGCCCAGGCAATATATGGTTGTCTGATGTTGAACATTAGTTTTTAGCAATGCATGCTAACATAACCAGTTAGGAAGGGTAACTTGCAGTTGCTTGTTCAGCAACATTTGTAGAAATACATTGTCCAGTTCTGTTCAAAACTGAGTCAAATTTAACTTGAGAGAAAAACATCTGCCAGACTGTGGTCACAGAGTATAAGGACGATCCTTCCAATGTTTTTCTTCTGTCAAAAGTTATATTGGAACTACTCTTTGGCATTATCAGTACAGGAAATTGGGAATGAGGCAAAGCTCTGTTCTATCCTGTATTTTCACCTATTTCACAGTGAGAAAATAAGAGGATTTCTCAAGTCTTGAGAAATGGGTCTCTATGTTGAATTTCTGCAAAATAAGGCACAAGGCTAAATACTGTGTTTATTTAAAATATGACCTGTTTAAAGTTTAAGGAAATTAAGTATGCAAGAACTTAAATACCTCTGTTTTAGATTTTAAAATACTGAACTTTATGAAAATCTAAAATACAAAAAAAGGTCAGTTTTGAAGTCAAAATTTAGATTTTTAAAAAGTCCTCATAAATTTGAAAACCTATCACACCAAATAAAAAGAATGTTTAAAAATGTTTGTAAAAATGTTTCTATGAAGGCCTCTGGCAACAAAGAATTGTACTTGAGAAAAGTAAGCCACTCTTATAAGCAAGATTTTTTTTAACTCCTGTTTTATTTCAGACTATAGAACACATTAAAAATTATATTAAAAAAATACCAGATATCCCAAAGGGGACATTAAAGTCTGTACCCAACAGTTTAGAGTCCATGAACAAGAGGGGAAAAAAACAGCAATGAACTAGAGCACGGGTGTCAAACTCACAGTATCATGTTGCCATCACGTGATATATCATAGTTTTTTTTCCCTTTGCGGAGGTTGGGTGGGCGTGGCCTGCATGTGACACATCCAGCCCACGGGCTGCCAGTTTGACATCCCTGAACTAGAGGATCCTCAGGTTTGTGAGCTAGTGATTTAACTACTGCAACAGTGACTCAATCTCTCTCACCAAAGATTTTGGTACAGCATTTCACTTATCCAAAATTGGCACAACACAGTTTATCCTCCCCAGAATTCTTTTGTAAAAATCAAAAAAGTCCATGACAAATTAAGGGGAGAAATGCATGGGAAAAGAACTACTTAAATAACTCTGGGTTACTTTTCCTACCAATTCTGCCACTCTCAAATTCTGTACATATGACTGAGAGAAGCAGATCTGTGTAAGAAGGGAAAAACCACCATCTCCTATCATTGAAGTTGTAGTCTCTTAGAGCTACTTAAAATACATGTAAGCCCATATGCATGAAATATATTGAGATTTATAATGATCACTTAAGTTGCTTTAATTTTCCACAGTTGCACATTTCCAGAATAAAACATTAACTTAACAAATTTCCTCACTATCCTCTAAGTCATTTTTCTGGAGGAAAATGGATATTCTAAACAATACTTGTCAGCAGAGTTGTTAAAATTGGTGTTTCATTTTTGTATATATAGTTTTATTTACCATTCACTTCCCTCTTTTTAACAGTGTTGGTAATATTCTAAAATACCAGTATAGAAAAAAATGGCATTCCCTTATCCTATTTTGTTTCACCCTAGAATCCTGAAGGTTCTGTATGTTGGCTTTGTGCTCTAGCAAAAATGCAATTATCATTTATTTGCACTCTGTTGTCTTTTCTCCAACCAGCTAAACTGGTATTCACTGTAAGGCCACTATTAGTTTAAAAAAAAAACAAAAACCAAGAGGCACTTTAGATTATAAGATACTGCATCAATTAACCATTTATTGGCACTGGACTAGGCCAATTGCTGTTAAAGCATTCAATTAGCACACAAACTTAATTTTCCTAGTCTGATGAATGGCAAAAATGTATTTTTCTCAAAAATATAAAAACATTGATTTCCTTTTAGAAAAACTACAGGATAATTGGGTTTCTTTTAGAACAATGACTAAATTTGGCCTGTGCAACAAATGAAACAAAGAAGGGAAATTTGCTAATTGTTTTTGTTCTTAAGCAAAGCAAATATATTTATTGCATTAAACATTAGAACCCAAGTGTCAATCCCTTTTGTAAATATCCTCTTTAAAGCTCAATATGATGGAACCTAGGATAAAAATATAATTAAAGATATTCAGAATTACAGGTGACACTGGCTTTTGACCAGTACTAAAGCATCAACAAAGCTATTATTTTTATTATTTCATTGCAAAATTAAGTCTTCAAAATGTGTAACTGAGTCAGAAGATGGAATATTTTTTTAATTTTACCATTTTTAATGTATCATTTGTCTAATATCACTCAGCTGCTTTACACTTTAATTCAATTTTAGGGTTTTTTGGCTAATATAATGGCTACTTCTGTCAACTACAGTTGTATATACTTGAGTGTGTTAGCCTTCTTTAATAAGCTACATTTGACATCTATAAACTGAATTACTGTTTGGGAAAAACAAATTTGTGCTTGGCTTCCACCATTATCCAATTCACAATATCTTAGTAAAAGAAAAAAAGAGTGTTCTCAGACAATGGTTTATTCATGGCAACTGAAAAGAATTCTCTTTTTAGTTTAAGTTTACTGAGGCCCAAATTGTAAAATAATGGGGTTTTGTCAAATTGTATGATCTAGCAAAAACCAATCAAGACCAAGAATTCCTATGTATGATTCATTTTGACTGAAATATTCAGTGGCAATTTTCGTTTTTTTTCCTGGTACCATCTAAAAGCACTTTTTATTAATATGGAAGAAGTGCATTGTAAACTTGAAATATAGGTTAATTATTTGACAAAGCAAAGCCATTTACCATATGAAACAATTGGTGGTGGTTGTCTAAGTCAGGAAAACTCTTCAATAGTTCTCTTAAAATCCAACCAGTTGAAAGAACTTTGCATGTTTCCAAATAATTTCTTTCAAGCACATATCTACAAGTTAATAGTTTAGGCTTTATAGCTGAAAAAGGCAGAATAATTTAAAACCTTGAGTTAGCTTTAAAAAAAAGTCTATTAAAAGTTAAAACTGATTCAAAAATAATGAACAGGAAGAGATTTTGATTTTAAGAGAAATTGGCAATCAGAACAGCAGCAGTTTTTACCCACACATCATGAGGTCTTGACAAGACTAGGTTTACTTTTAAAACTCCTGCTGTAAACTAGTAACACAAATGAGTCTTTTCAACATCACTGTAGCATGAGCTGTTTGAGGTTGTCATGAAGGATGGTATCTTTGACATCACGGAATACCAGACGAATATTTTCTGTATTAATAGCAGTGGTGAAATGGTGGTATAAGGGCTTCTGTTGCTGGTCCCGGCGTTTGGTACGAAAACAATCCACCAGGAATTTTTGGACATCTGTTAAGTTGTGAGGGTCCCCTTCAAACTCTGGGAAATAGTCTTTGATGCTCACTTTTTGCACTTTTTCCTCAAGCAAGTCTGTCTTGTTTAGAAAGAGAATGATGGACACATTGCTGAAAACCCGATTGTTAACTATAGTTTCAAAAATGTTCAAAGATTCCGTAAGGCGATTTGTTAGCCGGTCTTCCATAAGTACCTGATCAAACTCACTTGATGAAACTAGGAATAGTATTGAAGTGACACTATCAAAGCACTCAAACCAACGTTTTCTTTCTGACCTCTGGCCACCTACATCAACCATCTTGAAGGGAACATTTTTAATTTCAAAATCGTACTCATGTATTCCTTTTGTAGGTCTTCGTGCTAGCAGAATATCTTGCTGGGAGGGAAGATAATCCTGGGGGGAAATAATCTGAGTTGTTAATGCAACTACTGAAAAATAAAATAACTGATCTGACATTTGAAAAGAGGAAAAACATTTTAAGAATTCACAGAATGATTATATGAAATGCAATATCAAAAGTTAAAATAGTGGTAAGAGTAAGCTTTTAGCAAATTAATAGTGAAATTTCTAATTTTAGATTGTTGTTTATTGAGGCAAGTTGGTACCAAGTAACATAAGAATGTAAAGCAATGTGTAACCTTGCATAATGTCCATGAAAGCAAAAATCTCATTGTTCCTTGAAAAATGAGTAATCTATTTCAACCTTGTCACCTTAACATAATACTGAGTGAGCAAAGCATTGTATACATAAATAAATAGCATTTTTACACAGAACCTATTGGAGCCCTCATTTCCATGCTTTAGACCTTTCTGCCACTGTTAACTGATAAAGATATAAATTTTAAGAGCATGTGTAATGTATCCAAAATGGGCAGGTATTATATCTAACTAGATACTACCTAAAATGAATCCATTAACCAAGTCAATAGTCTTTAAATTCCTAAGTTAGTAACTCTTAGGAAATAGATGAAAGGGTTTCCACTAAACTATGAGAGGTGGGTCAAGAATTATAGTTCAAGTGACTTTAGAACAATCAGCAAACAGTAGACAATATCAATACACAATATCAATATTTGACACTGGATCTTAGAATATCATAGGGTCTACAACATTTAGTTTGCAATCAAATATTAATTAAATGTAATTATAGTTTGAAAATGCTACATCTTATTATTGATATCTGAATCTAAAAATAAGACAAATTTCTTTCTAGTATTTCACGGTAATACAAATACCAAATTTAGAAATAAAACTTACTGGATCTCCAAGTTTATCCAAATTGTCCAGAAAATATTTTATTGATTCTCCCTAAAGTGAAAAATAAATACAATTATTAATTATGCTCTGAAACAGACTTTTAAAGAGCAATTTAATATAAAGTAAGGTTTTATGCATGAAAGTTGCAACCAAATTCTCAGTATAATTTACAGATAAGTTAAATACTCATCTGTAAAATATCCTGAGAATTTTGGTCTTTGACACACACTGCAACCATTCAGTTGATGAATTATGCAGTTAAACACATCTATTTTGAAGGTTACAAACATTTATCCTTAATACTTGTGCTGTGGACAATGTGTACTGGACTAGAGTATGTAAATTACCCCCAGGTTATAAATCCTATTTAAAGAAAGATAAATAAGGATAATTACCGGTACTTTGGGGGAGGGGGTTACATAATTGCTCCCAATGATTCCCCAAAACATTTTGTTTTCTGAACAAATTACAAAATGGTTCCTCCTGCTCATACACTCTGCAACATATATGTTTAAAATCTTATTTAGCATTTGTCAGAGGGTAGTACCTTTGACTATTCCGGAAAACAACAGAATAATTTCCATTGTGCAGGTCATTGTGCACCATTTAGTGAGATCTCTCTTTCCATACTATTATGCTCATAGCATATGATTATATTTTAAGAGAAGTGCTGCTGTTGGTCTATGGTTGCAAAAATCAGGAATCTGCTAGTATCTTCTCTCACTAATGAAGATTAAAAAAAATAAGCTGCAGCTTATTTGATCAGATGCGCAGAGTGGCTAAATTGGTGTAAGATGTAAGTTGGGGTAAGGTGGGTGGGAGAAAGGAAGAGACAAGTTGGTTATGCAGATACAAGTTACCTGTGAGACAGAATACAAGTATCTTATCAATTAACAATTACATGTTTTAAAAAAAAACATTGTGTTTTTGAGACTTTCTAAGATTGCCTAAAAGTTTTTAATCTATTGAGTTTTACAATTTGCCACTTGATCTGCTGTTCTCCAACAGCCACGTTTAGATCTGTTATGGAGTGATGAAATGTTTGAAGGGATTATCTCCATGTTTAATATTAGCATATATCTTTTATTAGATAGCATTGCTTATATCTTTTAATAGATAGCATTGTTGTGATCCTCTGGCAGCCTGTGGAGATGGCAGCAGAATCGGACAGTGGGGAAGAACGTGGGCCAGTCCAGGAGTCTGGGGAGGACTCAGACAATGCATCCGATACAGAGATGAGGCCAGGGCCATCTGGGAGTTATGTGCTGACTCCAGAGCCTCCAGAATCTGACAGCAGTGAGGCAGAAGAACAAGGGGAGCCTGTTCCCTCTGTGTGTGTGTGTGTGTGCACACGCGTGCAGAGCTACCAGAAGGCAAGAGTAGTTAAGACAAAAAAGGCAACTCAGGAGTAAGGCTTGGAGGTGATTGCCCCTCCCATAAGATATAAAGGAAGTGCAAAGGGACAGGAACCTTTGCAGGAAGCAACGCTGCTCGCTTTGGTTGGTTTGGAACCTGAAAGCTCTGTGGTGAATTTGTGCTCCATTTGGTTTTGAAAGACTAATTGGTACTTTAGTCGTTGGCAGCACTTCAAGTAAGATAAAGGTGTGTTCTTATCAGACTTCTCCCTAAGAACTTCGGCAGACTTCCATGGGACTATTTATAACTGAGACTCATTACAGGCTGTGAATGACAATAATTCACAGCCGTTGAACTTGTTATGGTTCGCTGATAGCTGGTGCTGATAGCAGCGGAATCAGACAGTGGGAAAGAATGGGGACCAGTCAGGGAGCCTGGAGAGGACTCGGATGAAGGTCCTGAGTCTGCTGCAGAGATGGGGCCAGGACCATCTGGGAGTGGGGTGTGGCCTTCGGAGTCTGGCAGCAGCAAGGCAGAGGACCCAGGGGAGCCTGTTTCCAGTGTGCATGTGCGCAGAGCTGCTAGAAGGTGAGAGTAGCTGAAACAAAAGGGGTGACTTGGGAGAAAGGCTTGGAGGTGATTGCCCCTCCCATAAGGTATAAAGGTCAGGCAAAGATGACAAAACCTTTGCAGAAGCAAAGTAGATTGTTCAGTTCAGATTCATTCTTGAAACTCTTTGTATTTCGATTGGTTTTTTTTCTAGTTCATTTGATACTTCTGTTATTGGCAGCACTTCACAGAAAAGAAAGGTGGGTGCTTATCTCAGGGGACTGTTTGAGATTAATTCCAGTTGGGAATGAAAACAACTCCCAGCATTGCAATAAAATGTCTTGTTTTTAAAATAAGTGTATGCGTAATTATGGTTTAGGAAGCCTTGGTCAGAACAAAACTAAAAAGGGTTTTGGATTTAACGTGTGTTTGTTGGTGTCTCAGGAAGCCTTGATCAGAACAAGTAGAAATTTGATAAGATATATGTTGTCATTTTAACTATTCAGTCATGTCAGATGCTTGGTAACTTTATATAAGATAAGATATATACAAATTACTATTTTAATATATGGAGGGACAATATGATATACTGGTAAGATGAGAGACAGACAAGTTTAAAACTTCTCAAACATAGTAGCTTGGTTGTTAACTGGGCCAATCGGTATCTTTGACCCAATCTACCTTACAAATTTTAAATGGGGAAATACTGGATGAAGTAATTCTATGTATGCTGCCCTATCATTATTGCCATTATCATCGCCATCCTCCAAAATACTCTTTCAAATTCAAAATTGCCATTTCAAATCTAAACAAAACAGGCTTTTTATTCTTTCAACAATTGTGTCATCTTATTATGCACTCACACACACACCCCAATCTTCCATATAGACGTATATTAATCAATAAAGCAGCAATCACAACTTCTGTCTTATCATTGACTGGAGCCATTGAATGGAGAAGGAAGTAAGAAAATAGCAAAACTTACATGCTTAAAGTTGAGAAATATAAACATTTCTTGTTTAGCAACTGTTAGCAAATAAAATGCTTTCAAAAATTATTTTCCAATCAATGCATACAAAACAAATTTTATGCTGGAATGAAGGTAACACTGACATAGTTGTACAAGAGAACTTTATTTAAATGAGGCAGCAAAACCAGTGGTATTCACAACATATTCTCTCTCCCCCCTTCTCCACCCCCGTCTCTCTCAACACATAAAATTTCAAATTAGAGAATGGATTGTGGATACTAAATGAGATGGTATAGAAGGATTGGGACATCAGATAGATATCACACACTGATTTTGGAAACATATATTGGTAAGCTTGTCTAAAAAGAGGTCATTCTCCCCCCCCCCCCCAAACCAATTCTCTATAGAATAATGCTATGCACTCTATAGTCATTAAAGTGGAACAGGATGATAATGCAGGAAGCACCAGAAGCCACACCCACCACTGAGGAAGACCCTAATACCAGTTTCAGGGTACTGCATGAGATCTTCTTGAGTTAAATATATAAGATCCATATACATATAATGCTCAACTTATGACCAAAATTAAGCCCAAGATTTCTGTTCCTAAGCATAACAGGCGTTAAGTGAGTTTTTACGCCCTGTCTTGCTACAGTTGTTAAGTGAATCACTATAAATGTTAATGGTTTTTAAATGAATCTGGCTTTCTCACAAACTGCTTGTCAGATGATTGCAAAAGATGATCACTTGACCTCAGGACACTGCAGTTGTCAAAAATATGAACCAGTTGCCAAGTATCTGAATTCTCATGTGACCACAGGGATACTGCAACAGTATTAATGTGAAAACCAGTCAGAAGCCTTTTTTTTCAGTGCTGTTGTAACTTTGAATGGTCACTAAACAAATTACTGCAAGTTCAGGACTACCTGTAGTGTTTTTATCTGCACCCACTTCAAGGGCCAGTAGAAACAATGACAAAAGAAATTGTGTGTGAGGATTATTAAAGTTATTGAATCACATAAGAGTTCTTGCAACTATTCACAGTCCTAGATGTGTTTTAATTAAAATAAATTGCCACAGTAGTGAGTAAAGCAGCAATCAGAGGGCAAAAGTCAAGGTGGGTGAAATACATTAGAAGTAATGTGTGGTATTCTAAATGACAGTTTTGAATAGTCATTAAGCAAAGTAGAGAATACTAGGTATCAGAGTCTTGGTGGATCCAGACATAAACAAGAGATAAAATACTGCTTCACACTGAGGTGACTGATACTTTGCTTACAAAGCAGATGAAGTGAGGGAATCATGACTTAAATGGTTAACAAATAACCGTTAGAACAGTGAAACCTCAACCACAGCTTTGTGCTCTCCTAATTAAAAGTGATGGGGCATGGCTTACAAATGTTTGATGAACAGTTTACATTCTGAAAATTATCATACAGTGCTGTGTGCTCTTCTAATGTGCCAATTCTGTTGGCCATCAACAGAATTGGATAGTTTTGTACCATGAATTTTAAATTACTGCTATTAAAAAGACTGAAATTTAACACTCCTCAAACCTGCCATTCACAGTCTGGCATCATTCCAACCACTCTTTCTGTGTCTGCATTCTCAATTCATAATGGTTGAATTTTTTGAATTTTTTCCCTGTTTTTTTTTAGTTTTATTTGTAATCCTGCAAATCACTAAAGTCTCAAGACCTGCCAATGTTTCTTTTTTGTTTGTCATTGGTCTTTTTATTGCTACAATCCAGTAGATGATTCATTACCATTAGCCCAGAAGCAGCTTGATTTACAGAATTCCCCATGTTTGGAAGAACTTGAGCTGCATGTAAAGAAGTTCTATTAACTCTTTCAGTTCATATACTTAAGAATCATCTTAACTTAGGAAGTTCAGGTACTATTATATATTATAATATTATATTACTCTTATTATTATATACTCTTTTCTACTATTACCAAACTATTACCAGTGCCAAATAAACCCTTAATAAAAACTTACATGGTTTTTTATAGAACACAAACAATAACAAATAGTTTTGTTGATTAAAATTATTTATTACATCAACTTTTATGCATCACAGCCAACTTCGTTGGATATATCAAGTATAATTTGTGAGTGAAATATTATATAAGGGCTGAGTGAAATATAATGCCTTATATAAAATTTGCACAAAGAT